GTCCAACAAAACACTTTCAAAATTAAAGTGCTAATTGAACATGCTTTTACTTTTTAATTTTTAATAGTCATGTTTTGCCATTTTCTGACAATAATTATAAATAAATTATGTTAACGATGAACCTAGCATAGTCATATTTTGGTAAAACACGTTTATTGCAGATATTTTTGTGAAATCTACGAAATTCTTACTGAATATTTTTTAATAAAAAAGTTTGGAAAGCTTTACTCCCTATTGTTGGTCAAGTTAATATGGTCCTCACTAAAAACGCCAGTTATAATGACGTTATGTATTTATACTGTGTTTATCTATAGTGTATGGAGAAAAAACGTATCAAATCTTGTATGTTTGTTCTCAAAAAGATGTTTATTTTATGTTAAAAAAAAACAGGCTGTATTGCAATTACAAGTATTTTCAAATTTCAGTATATAAATTCTTTAATAAACTAAGAAAAAAAAAACATCATTTAAATGTTTTATTTATCATAATTAATTCACACAAAAATGTATGAAAACAAAATGCTAGTATTTTTGTAACTTTTGTTTCATCTTTGTAACATAAAATAGATGTAAGTGTTCTTTAATTGAAATTGTCGCGAGGCATGTGTCTCAGAAGAGTAGCACTAAAAAGTGTGTGGGATAAAATTGAACTTAAACCTGAAGACATCACGATGCTTATACAACATACACTTATGGGCAGAAACAGTTTTTATTACGTTCTTTCTACCAAAAAATGTAATTTCATTAATTTTGATACATGTTTACAACACCTGTACATAATTGGTTATGTTTTTCTTAAAGGCCCATTATGCCTCAGACAAGCTTTTATCTTCCTTTCTCTTAAGCTTTTTATAAATTTTGGTATAGGTTTATGTTATCCATATCGTTACTCACTGGCCAATCACCAGAACTTTTTTATCTGTTACATTTTGGCAATAATTAAAGTGAATTAGTATTTTGTATGGAAGTTAAAATACTACTTTGCTTACATTTTGCTACATTTACTACAAAGAATTTTAGATTTATCGCTATTTTATTCAGGTAACAAGCATCTTACATTCTCTTAAACCATTATTTAATTTATTTGTTTTTGAGGCATAATGTGCCTTTGATAAAGGTAAGAAATTTTGCATCATAATTACAATCAAGAACAAGTGCATTAAAAACATCAAAAGACACACTTATATATTAATCAAGAACCATGATATCTGTGTAATGCATTTTGTGAGAGTGTAGTTGTGAAATATGATATAAACACATCATCATTTTTTAATTTGACAAAGGTAACAAGTATTGTCATTTATGAAATAAGCAATCATATATGAATAAGTTTAGCAAAAGTTGTGAAAGTAACTGCACACAAAACATTCAAATAGTTAAAATATGTAATACATTCTGTACAAAAGTCGATTTAAAAGCAACAATTTTCACATAAAGCAACCGACCAGCATTTAGTTGTAATTTACATCTACAAGTACATAGTCGCTGTTTCCTTCAGATCCACTAGCTATGTTATGTGTAGCAAAAATAAGGTTTTAAATGTCAGTACTTTGGGAGTCACTCTGAGAACTGACTGTGTAGATGGCAAAAATGGTGCATCAGCTCCTGACAGTTTGATCAATCTGGGATGTTATATTTTTTATCCTTGAAAATCGTTAAGCACAATAACATTGCTGTGTTGCATAGTTTTAGTTTCTTCTTTTTGACTTTTTTCCCGTTGGGTAGTTCTAGCTAGTATTCCTTCGTGAATACTGAATATCACCATGAAGGATATGTTGCCAGACTTAAGAGTTCTCCTTTGTTGGCTTTTATCTGATATTAAGACTTCATAACCCTATTTTAAAAAGTTCAGTTATTAAGTTCAACATAATTTTCATATTTAGGCTACACGCATTATTTTACTTGGGTCCACTGTTTTTCATGGAGTGACGCAATGGTTACATTGAAGATACCTTGATTACGGTCTTATGAACTTGTCTACGGATGCTTAAAATTTTAAGTTTCACTATTATAATTTCATTACATTTTTGTTTAAATACTGAATTTTGCTTGGAGGACGTTGTTAGAAGCTTGCATATATCATTGCTGTCCCAAAAATAGGCATAATCGAACCGAGTGTAAATGTGCCATATTGTGTATCTTTCTATTTGCTTGTACGATTTTGAGCATATGTATTCTAAACAATGCTAGTCTGGCATAAGTTACAGGTGTTAATAGGGAAAAATACAATCCCTAAAGAACTTCCAATAAACAGTAAAATTGAAAATGTTGCATACTTGGTTTGATTGAGCCTGTTCATGGATGGTACTGGATAGTACAAACTACCGTCCACACCCCAAGCAACTCCTCAATGATGATTCAACCTTTAGCATGAAATAGTAAAATTTGAATTTTGAAACATTCGCAGATGTGTTAATACTGAGGTCATCATGGAAAGCTCAATGTGACTTATTTCAGCCAGTACATTAAACGTGGCGTATGGTCCCACAATTAACTCGACCTTAACATGCAACACATCTGTTGACCAGACAAGAGTATCAACGCATGAAATGAAAAATCAGGGGTGACTTTGAGCAACACATCTTGTTTTAGCGTGATACACATCAGATCAATGTTAAAAAAAAGTTATGTATAATTGTAAAAAAATCATCCATGAAAGACAATGTCGTTGGAAAGACAACGCCATCTATTAATCATATTATGAATACGGAAGTTCAAGTGTGACTTGATTTTTGAATGTGACACATCGATATAATGTCAAAAAACATTTTTATTAAGTTATTTAAAAAATCCATCCAGGAATGACATAATTATTGACTTGACATGACCATCAGTGCACAATTTATGCAAAATATGCAAAGGTATGGACCACACTCAAAGTAAGGAATATGGAAGCACTGTACAAATAATAATTCCTCTCAATTTTTTGTAGGGGAGGGCATAAAATGCTGCTTTTATTTTAAGTATTGAAATTGACTGGTTTCTTTTGTGCAGAATGTATTAATGCATCTATACTTATATTAATATATGTATTTAAATTGTGTTTTAAGTTTAATTGATATGATAAAGACTTAAATACCTTTCGCTATCCACTATTGCAATTTTCTATGACTGTGATTTTATTCAGTATGTTATTTGCACAACATTCATTAATAAATGCTCCTTTCATCAATGACAATAACCATTTCTCTTTTCTTTCATGTTAGATATTATAGTAGTCAAAGTTTAAATGATACCAATCAACCAAAATTAAAGTTTATATTAAAATGTAATGAGATCGAATATCCATTTTACAACTTTTGCTGGAAGAACATTATCAAAAAATCTTTTCAAAAAAGTATTTATCCATACAATATTTTTGTTTTCAAAACATAAAAAATGCCATCATATAATTGTTAAACATATATTATAGAACAATAAAAGCAAGTTGATGAACATTATATTTAATGGTTTAGGTGTTATTTTTCCCTATAGAGTTTTAAAACTCTAAGATATATGATAAGGTAACTACTTTCAATGACTTGTCAAGCTATAATCAACTGATAAAAGACAGACAACTATGAAATTATTTTATTCTACGATATATCTAAAGGCAACAAATCTCAAAAATGTGTTTCGGTACCATTCATTTTTTGTGATAATTTTAAATTGCGATGACTTGATGTTTCTTTCTTCTTTAATGTAATACAATCTTTATATTTCTTATCACAAAATTCAATTACATGATAAATACACTAAAATTGAAAAGTAAAGGCAAGTTTTAGAAGCTTAATAATTTGAACTTTTTTCTTCTTTTTCCTTCTCTTTCTTTCTCGGTTATTTTACCCCACCCACTTTTGAAGCTGTACTCATCTGTGATAAATGATCAGGTAATAAATTGTTAAGCTTAACTTATCAAGAAATGTTCAAATGATAAATAAAATACAATTAAAACACAATTTACTATACATTAAACTGAAATTATAATGTAAAGGCATGTTTTGGGAATATTGTAATTTTGATTTTTTTTTTCAATAATTTTACCCCACCCACTTTTGAAGATCTACTCTTACGGCATAAATGCCCAGAAAATGATTTTTTATGCTTAACTTGTCTAACTATGTTAAATTGATAAAGTACACACACTTTAAATGCATTTTTGTTTATATTGTGTAAATACGGAAAAACGAAAGTCATCATATTGTCAAAAAATGCTATTTTTTACCACTTTTTTGGTAAATTGATAGTGATAATTTAAAAGTTTGCCATATAATTGTCATTTTTGCATGATTGAAACATAAATTAGCCATATTTTATCTGATATTGTGCAATTGAAACTACTTTGTACAAAATCCGTATGTAAAAAATCAAGAAACAAAAATTATATGGTATTTTGTAATTTCTGGCGGCCATATTGGCGGCCATCTTGGATTTTTGTACTTTTGCCCGGGCTGCGTAACTTAAGAAATGGGTTTTTAGAAACTACAAACAATATGCTTCATAATGGCGATGTTTCTTTTGGTGATACGGTAAATTGCAATAAAACCCCGCCATCTCTTGGACTATGATGTCTTGATGATTTTTGCTTGGGTGCCTGCCGAGTCTGGCATATTGTAGAAAGGGACACCCTAGGTCGTTCTCCACCAATAAAGCTGGGTAGTAACTGTATGACCATAACAATGTCTGTGTGACTTAAAATCAAATCAACAAAAAAAAACCCATATGGTTGATAATGATTATTATTTTCTAATACTTAGGGAGGAAGGATGGTACCTAAGATTTTTAAGAGCATATATATTTTCCCTTGTTCATCTGTCACTAAGTTCATCTGTCACTATGTTCATCTCTCGCTCTTTTTATCTGTCCATCTGTCACTATATTCATCTCTCGCTCTGTGTTTTTCTGTCGCTCTGTCCATCCATAGACTGATAATACAGTTGAGTTTGGGGGGCATCCGTGACATATGGACACATTTCTTGTTTAATATTTATCTCATGTATTGATTGATTGGTTATTGATTAGGAAAAAAGAGATTGACAAGATGACAATGACTTTAATTTTGGAGATGGAAGAACAAAAGAAATCAGAGGAAAAAGAAGATAGTGAGAAGGAAGAGGATGAAGAACAGAACGGACAAGATAAATCTGGGTCTGGCAGTGACCAGGTGAGTTCTCGTATTTACAGTTTATATTTGAATGTCATTGGATATGAAGTCTTTGCATAGAATTGGGTGCTAATATTTATTATTATATGATTATATTCTGTACTAGTCTATACACGAGTATAGACTTTTTTCAACAAATACTAGATTTAGATTAATACTCTTTGTGCATCTTCTACCACAATTTTTACCAAATCTCTGCTGAACTATCTTCATGGGGTCTTATGGTTCAGTCATTATTTGCAGATTTGAAAATGGAAACATGGTTTTGTGTCACTTGTTTTTAGACATTTCAGTAAATTACATCACTGAATTACTGAATTTTGATTAAAGCAGCTTATTTTCATACATTATGCTTAGCTGATTAACAGATTATCAAAACAAAAGTATTTCTACAGACAATTTAGTACAATCAAGATGTAAGGCGTAACTATATGGCTGTATGCAGTATGTTTTATGGTGTTGGGTATTCTCTTTCAATTTCCTCAGGCCAAAGATTAGCTTGGTAAGCTACCTTACTGATTTCATGTTGTTTATTGTACATTTGAGCCATGTCAAGACAAAAACAACGTAATGCGTTTGCAACCAGCATGGACATCCGCATCCGCACAGTCTGATCAGGATCCATGCTGTCCGCTTACAAACACTATTACAAGTAGAGAAACTGATAGCCAACAGCATGGATCCTGATCAGACTGTGCGGATGCGCAGGCTGGTCTGGATCCATGCTGGTCGCAAACGCATTACGTTGGTTTTGTCGTGACGCGGCTCAAATTTTGTATCTATGAACCTTTGTAGGAGGAAGAGCCACCAAAGAAAAAGACCAAGGTAAAAGAAAAACCTGCCAAGAAAAAGGGGAAGAAGAAAAAAGGAGGAGAGGTATTTTGTTTATGCTCTCTGAGTTCAGATAATGAAAAATATGTTCCTAAACTCCTAAAATAGTAAGGTTATAAACTATGTGTAAAAGTGCTCACTCTGTCATTAGACTTTTGCTAAAATTAATGTGGCTACAGAAATTTTACTTGATTACAGAATTTCTTGCCTGTGTTAAGGGGTTTTTTTTTTGTTTTTTTTTTTTATTTTGGTGGGGGGATGTATGAAATCAGAAAATTATACTAATTTGACTAACAGAAAATTTTAAAAAAGGTTAGTCATGAACATGGTCCATAAAAGTTATTAATTGCTGGCTTTGTATCAAGTGCTATGCAAGGCTGTGGATTTAAATCCTGCATACACCTCCAGGGGCATGCAGATAATTTCACTGACTGAGTCACTTGCCACTAAAAGTTTTGATCATGCCAGGGGCTATGAAATCATTCATGTGAACACGCACACTATCTAGCTAAATAATGGAATCTGGCTTGATATACCTAGTCCCTGCTTGCATCAGCAGTAATGAATGAAGCCAAAGAGTTGATATTTAACTTAAACTGTTTTTATGTTTGACGTTAAACCCTATACACTATGTCCTTTTATTCCAAAATTCTTTGCTTTTATAATATTTTCTGACAGTGTGTATACATGTATTATATTATAATTGTAAGGATGATGATGATGATGATGACCTAGCCCCACTGGAAAACGATGATCTCATGGCATATGATGAAGAACAAAAGGTAAAATATAACAATTTATTTCCCATGATGTTCTGGTTATTTCAGCTTATACCACTACCAGTTATGCTTTTGTATTCAAACTGTACATCTATGTCACAAGTCATTTGGTTTTAGGACTTTATTTCATTCATGTTTAATTTTCTAAAAAGAAAAAAAGGCACATCAAAGTTACCTGTTTTTGAAATTTCCCAGAAAAAGATTAAATGATAACTGATTAATTTAAATGTTAAAGTCATGAATTAAATATGTATAACATGCTATATTGAACAAGTGGTAAAAATTTCAAACTTCATAAATTAACCTGCAAATTATATTGCAATAATTTTCAAAATAAGCATTTCATATAAAATGACCTATTTTTTTACCTGTCAGAAAAAGCCCTGAATGATATTGGTAACAATCTGATCCATGTCTTGTTTTTCAGACATTGAAACTTTCCGATGAAGAATTAGCTAAGAGATTACAATCATTTGAAGAAACGGGTAGAAGAACCAGAGGAAAAGCTGTAAGACCTCTTAAATTAACATAATTGTTATATAGTGTTCTTTTTGACTGGGTGGTCATCATTCATTATCTAGGGACCTCAGTTACATAGTGGGTAAAGATAATTGACTTGAATCACTTGCTACTCACAACTGTAGGTTTGAGTCTTGTGTGGTACCTCAGATTCTTTCATTTTAGGAAACTATCTAACTTACAAAAGTTGTGGTTCTACTCCAGTAACTTACTTGTGTCTGAAATAAGGGGCACCTGAGGTCTTCATCCACTAGATAAACTGAAGTCACCGATTGTTTGGTGACTTACAGCCCAACCCTACCAATTCTGTCTTACTTTTATTAAGAAGTTGGGTATCATGATAAAGTGAAGATATATATTGATAATTAAGTGTAATATAATCAAATTTGCTTTAGATATTTACATTAGAATTCTATTTATTTGACCTTTTGACCTCTGTGAATGAGTGGTTAAGGTTGCGGATAAGGTCTGATTTGTCTTTCACAGCTGTGTTTGATTCTTATCAGGAACATTGGCTACCTACATGTATAGAAAGCTATTGAGCTATAAGTTGCCATGTTATCTAATCTGTATGAATGTGAATTAAAAACACAAATATAAGTAAATTGCAATTTTTTATCTTGATACATAAAAATTCTAGGTTGTTATTTTGTGATATTTGACATTTAAGATAATTATTTTTTCAGACTCCTAAAAGGAAAGAGAAGAAGAAAGGTGAGATATTTTTCTCAATGCTCTACAAGTCTTATAGTCCAATGTCTCGGACAACTCTACAAATTAGTCCCGGGCAATTCTAATTTTGACAGATGCTTATCTCAGACAACTGTGTACTTATATGATCCCACACAGAATGGTGCATTGGTAATTTATATTTAGGCGATCAATTTCAACATATACTAGCATTGCCCAAGGTGATAAAACACATTGATTTTCATAAGGACTTATTAAGAGGATGTCCAAAATTATTATATGCCCGAAAGAATTATTATGTTATACCCCCTGGCGTCCGTCCGTCCGTTAGCAATTTGGTTTCCGGAGCATAACTTAAGTTCCATTTGGCCCACAGTATTCAAACTTCATAGGATGATTGCCCATATTGGGTAGAAGACCCCTATTGATTTTGGGGTCACAAGGTCAAAGGTCACTATTAGCTAAATACTGAAAATGGTTTCCGGAGCATAACTTAAGTTCCATTTGACCCACAGTATTCAAACTTCATAGGATGATTGTCCATATTGGGTACAAGACCCCTATTGATTTTGGGGTCACAAAGTCAAAGGTCAAGGTCACTATTAGCTTAATACTGAAAATGGTTTCTGGACCATTACTTAAGTTCCATTTGGCCCACAGTATTCAAACTTCATAGGATGATTGCCCATATTGCCCTATTGATTTTGGGGTCACAAGGTCAAAGGTCAAGGTCACTATTAGCTAAATTCTGAAAATGGTTTCCGGACCATAACTTAAGTTCCATTTGGCCCACAGTATTCAAATTTCATGGGATGATTGTCCATATTGGGTAGAAGACCACTATTGATTTTGGGGTCACAAAGTCAAAGGTCAAGGTCACTATTAGCTTAATACTGAAAATGGTTTCCAGAGCATAACTTAAGTTCCATTTGGCCCACAGTATTCAAACTTCATAGGATGATTGTCCATATTGGGTAGAAGACCCCTATTGATTTTAGGGTCACAAGGTCAAATATCAAGGTTACTATCACCTTTAAACTGGAAACAGTTTTTGCTCAATAACTCAAGTATTAATCAACCTACAGCTGTAAAATTTTATAGGATTAACAGCTTTATACCCATGACGTCTTTTCGTCCATCCTTTGTAGCATTTTTACTTACAAGATAACAACTTGATGGTGGTGCTTTGAAAACAGCAACTTCTTCAGCTATAAAGAAGGATTGCTTTTTGAAGGAGGTAATACTGTATTTAATTCCCATGTCTTACAAATGCTTCATCCTTACTAAAAGAAAAAGTACTTTCGGGCATATAATGCTCCACCTAGCGGTGCTCTTGTTACTGACATGTACTTGTGCCGTGAATTACAGATTTGGAATTATTTGTTTTAGGATGTTTGGTGAAATCGTAAGTCGAAAACAATTGTAAAATATTAAAGAAGCATCTATTTATTATTACGTGAATTGGTCTATACTAAAAACAGCTGCAAAACCAAATAAATAAATTATGTTGATAGTATTCAGGTTATAGCCTAATAGACTTGTGTTTAAATAATCTAACTTAATTATCCCCCGCCGATGGAATCTGTATAATATGGATTTTTACTCCATATGCATACTGCATAACTAATCACTCTGAGTTAAAGTGTCTGACCGGAACAAGCCGACGATATGCGCATCTCCTCTTGGTATTGATGATTCCCATAAAGTTTCGTTGAATTCCAGCCAGTAGTTGCAGAGAAGTAGTGCGGAAACGATTTTTACTCTATATGCATACTACAGTATAATCTCATTGGCATTTCCAGATTTTACTATTTAACACAAAGTTATGGCTTTGTTATTGCCCTGAATATTTATCAAGTTCAAAGAATATTACTGTTTATGCCATGATTAATATATAAATAAAGCCTTATGTCTTCAGTTGTTGTGTTAATAATAACCAGTACTCGGCGGGGGATATAAATTCAACGAATTTGCTTGTTTATTAAAATTTGGAGAGAAAAAAAAACAAGGTGAAGTACATGTATGTCCAACTTGCTAGTTAAAGTTAACAATATCAATTTTCGAAGTTCTTAATTGGGCAATATCTTGGAAGTCATAGTCATTTAAAACAGGCTATTAAATTTGAGTGTCATAAAAGTGATAAAAGATACATTGGAAGAGACCTGAACAATTAAAATTATTCCAGTTAAAACAAAAAATAATAGCAATAAAATACAAAATGTAGCTATAAAAAATTATCTGCTCTTTTTGTGTCGCCTTGAAAAGGTGACATATAGGGGTTACTTTTGTCGGCGGTGTCGGCGGCGTCTGTGTCGGCGTCGTTGTCGGCGTCGGCGTCCGCTAAAGCTTGTCCGGAGCATAACTCAGTCACTATAAGTCTGATTGACTTCAAACTTGGTATGCATGCTTCTTTCAATAACCCGAAGTGCAGTGCACAAGGACCGGTACTCTGCAGTTCTTATTTTTTGAGTTATTGCCCTTTGTTAATTTTCATACTTTAATTTTGTCCGGGCCATTTCTCTTCAACTAAAAAAGCTATGGACTTGAAACTTCATAGGATGATAGATCTCATTAAGAAGAAATGCAGTGCACAAGAACCAGTACTCTGCACTTCCTAATTTTTGAGTTATTGCCCTTTGTTAATTTTCATACTTTATTTTTGTCTGGGCCATTTCTCCTAATGTATAAAAGCCATGGACTTGAAACTTCATTGGATGATAGGTCTCATTAAGAAGAAGTGCAGTGCACAAGAACTGGTACTCTGCATTTCTTATTTTTTGAGTTATTGCCCTTTGTTTATTTTCATACTTAATTTTTGTCCAGGCCATTTCTCTGAAAGTATAAAAATTATGGACTTGAAACTTCATAGGATGATAGATCTGATTAAAAAGAAGTGCAGTGCATAAGAACTGATACTCAGCATTTCTTATTTTTGAGTTATTGCCCTTTGTTGCTTTTCTTACTTTATTTTTGTCCTGGTCATTTTTCCTCAAGTATGAAAGCTATGGACTTGAAACATCATAGAATGATAGATCTTATTGACAAGAAGTGCAGTGTACAGAAACTGCTGCTCTGCACTTATTATTTTTTTAGTTATTGCCCTTTGTTATTTTTCATATTTCATTTTTGTCCTGGCCATTTCCCCTAAACTACATTGTTCACAAGGCGACACATCCGACTCGCGGAGTTCTAGTTTGGATATTTATACCACACATACTGAACATGTATAGAGACTTGTTATCAGTTTTGGGACTACTCTATTTTGCTCGGTCAGTTGTCTTAGACCAGTATATTCCAGAAAGTTTGTAGAGTCCTGTTACTGACTTGATATATTTAAGGCTACTTGACTCAATTTGTATGATGCAAGGTTTACTGACATAGCATCCACAAGTTAAAATCAAGGCTGTGATTTTTATTGACAACAGTATGTCTTGTGTTGTATGCCACCTTTGGATGTTTAAAATGACTGCTGTGATTAATTGGGAGTTAATTGTAGTAAAAATCAGTGTAATAATAGTACAAATTCTAGTAATTGAAGTTAATTGTTAGATTTATGACTGAAATACTGTTTAAGTGACACTTGAGCCAAAGCAGAACAAACACTGATAGTAAAAAAAATGTCTACTTAATGAATAAGTTAACATTATTTTGATTGGTCATTATTTTAGTAAATAAAATATGATATGGCTGCCATATGATCTTATAAATATTATCATGGTAAAAAGAGATTATATTACATGCTTTTCGGTGGTTTATAGAAATATATCAGTGATATAAAACTGGTAATTTCACTGTTTGAAACAGTGAAATTACAACTTTCATAATTTCACTGTTTTGAATTTAAGCCCCTTACGTTGTTTCAGTGAAATACTTGTACCAGCGTGCACAGTACTGGGTACCAACTTAATTAATGACATGACGTCGTAAATGACGTCACGTTGTATTATTATTTGGCGCGCTTTTCATTCAGTATTAGGTTTTATGTCTTTTTAAAACGTTTCTTTACATGTAATAAAAAGAAAATTTGTTAAGTTTAGTGTAAGATCGAAATATATTTCACCTTGTGAACACCAAAAAGTTTAAATTTCACTGGAAAAAGAGAATGTTAACTCCAATTGGAAAAATTACTGTTGTTAAATCAATATTGCTTCCATTATTTACCCATTGTTAGCTCACCTGAGCACGAAGTGCTCAAAGGTGAGCTTTTGTCATCACTCTGCGTGCGTCGTGCGTCGTGCGTCCCTCAAAAAATGGCGTCAAACTTTTCAAACAACATCTCCTCCTAAACTACATGGCCAATTGCAACCAAACTTTACAGAAATGATCCTTAGGTGGACCCCTTTCAAAGTTGTTCAAAAATTTAAATTCCATTAAAAACTCTGGTTGCCATGGCAACCAATAAGAAAAACTTAAAAAATCTTCTTCTAAAAAACCGTAAGAGCTAGAGCTTAGATATTTGGCATGAAACATCTTCTAATGAGTGCCTACAAAGTTTGTTCAAATAAAAGCCCTGGGGTCAAAATTGGCCCCGCCCCTGGGGGTCATTGATTTTCCCTATGTGCATATAGTAAAAACTTAAAAAATCTTCTTTTAAAGAACTCAAAGAGCTAGAGCTAAGATATTTAGCATGAAACATGTTCTAATGGGTGTCTACCAAGTTTGTTCAAATAAAAGCCCTGGGGTCAAAATTGGCTCCGCCCCGGGGGTCATTGATTTTCCTTATATGTGTATAGCAAAAACTTAAAAAATCTTCTTTAAAAAAACCCAAATAGCTGGAGTTTAGCTATTAAGCATGAAACATCTTCTAGTGAGTGTCTACAAAGTTTGTTCAAATCAAAGCCCTAGGGTCAAAATTGGCCCCGCCCCGGGGGTCATTGATTTTCCTTATATGACTGTGTATAGCAAAAACTTAAAAATCTTCTTTTAAAAAACCCAGATAGCTAGTGTTAAGATATAAAGCATGAAACATCTTCTAGTGAGTGTCTACCAAGTTTGTTCAAATAAAAGCCCTAGGGTCAAAATTGGCCCCGCCCCAGGGTGTCTTTGATTTTCCCTATATGCATATAGTTAAAACTTAAAAAATCTTCTTTTAAAGAACCCAAAGAGCTAGAGCTAAGATATTTAGCATGAAACATCTTCTAATGAGTGTCTACAAAGTTTGTTCAAATAAAAGCCCTAGGGTCAAAATTGGCCCCGCCCCTGGGGGTCATTTATTTTCCCTATGTGCATATAGTAAAAACTTAAAAATCTTCATTTAAAGAACTCAAAGAGCTAGAGCTAAGATATTTAGCATGAAACATGTTCTCATGGGTGTCTACCAAGTTTGTTCAAATAAAAGCCCTGGGGTCAAAATTGGCCCCGCCCCGGGGGTCATTCATTAGCTTGACTTTTTTTTTTTTAGTTATATACATATTATATATATACATATATATTTAATATTTAGATATATATATATATATATAAATATATATATATATAATATAAGATATATATATATATAAGATATATAGATATATGTATATATATATAGATTATGTATATATATATATATATATATATATATATATATATATATGTATGTATGTGTATATATATATATATATATATATACATATATATACATATATATACATATATATATATATATATATATACATACATACATATATATATATATATATATATATATATATATATATATATATATATATGTATGTATATATATATATATATATATATATATGTATGTATATATATATGAATATATATATATATTATGTATATGTATATATATATATACATGCATACATATACAACCAAGTTTGTTCAAATAAAAGCCCTGGGGTTTAAACTGGCCCTGCTCCAGGGGCCTATATACAGGTGAGCGACTTTGGGCCATCATGGCCCTCTTGTTTTACAAGTTTACCAACACCTAGTACTGTTTATTTGAAGACATTGAATGACTTATTTTATGATTTTATATGGGAGGGCAAGGCAAAAATAAAACAATCAGTAATTACTAAAACATACAAAGAAGGTGGTTTAAATATGACTGACATTAATAGTTATGTTCATAGTTTAAAGATAAAATGGTTTAGAAGGTGTGTTAGTAATAGCAGCAGTAAATGTTATAAGCTAGTGAATACATTGTTTGATATTGGTAAAGTTTTTAACACAGGTAAAATGTTTTGTAAAGTAATTATCAGTAAGATTAAAAATGCTTTCTGGATTGATGTTTTAAAGGCTTATATGATGTTTATTGAAAAACTTTCTATAGATAATATAGAGCAAGTATTACATATGCCACTTTTTTACAATCATAATTTTTTATCTGGAAACAGATATATTTTCATTCAGATATTGTATGATAAAGGCATCAGATTTGTGAAAGATATTATTAATGAACAGGGTAATTTTGTAGATTTGAATTATTTAGAACAGGTAACATGTAAACAAGTGAATTTTTTACAATATCATAGTTTAAAACAGGCAATTAAATTTTATATGCAAACGCTAAATATGATGATTTGTAATAACTTGTTTAATGTTCAATACCCTATTATAAGTTGTTATATAAAACCTATTTTGTTCATGAATAGTAATAAGAAATATGTATATGAAACTTTAGTTAAGAATTCAGATTTACCATCAAGTCAAGAAAAGTGGAACACATGCTTTATAGGTGATCACATTAATTGGCATTTAATTTATAGTTATGTTTTCCATTGTACAAAAGATTCATACATTCAGTGGTTCCAAACAAGAATTATTCATAGAATTATTGCTACAAATTCACTTCTGTTTAAAATGAAAATTGTGAACAATAAAATGTGTACTTTTTGTAATTGTTATGAAGAAACACTTTTGCATTTGTTTTGGGAATGTCACAAGATTCAAGGCCTTTTTCAATATCTGAAAGATAACATACATAATTTTGAAGAATGTTTCAACTGTAAATCAGTTATTTTAGGTTCAGAATCTAAAGATTTTAAATATGACATTTTGTTTTTAGAACTAAAAAGATATATTTATTTGTCAAAGAGAAAAAAGGTGCTACCCACATGTATTGGTTTTAAAAATAGTCTTAAATTAGCATGGAATATTTATAAAGATACAAACTTGACAGAAGATGAAAATAATAGATGGCAATTAGTAAGATCTTTAATTGAATAAACTACACTGACATACTGAATTAGATAAATAAATTTAACCTGATAATACCATTCTTAATTAATGTTCTTACATTGTACATATGGTTTTATTATAATGTACTTACTCGAAGGGTATAAAGCTATGTGTGTTGTAATATCTTTATTAAAATGTATAAAATTATACCGATTTCCCCCCATACATACACATCTGTAGTATATTGACAAAAATTCATGGTAACTTATACCTCTTCATATATATATATATATTTTTTTTTTTCAATAACAGGCAGCAAAAATATAGCTTTATACTCAAATTTAGTAATTATTTTAATATTCTGATGTAATGAGGTACTATTATATCTATAAATATGTACTATTATATGTATAAATGTAAAAGAATTTGAAATAAATGGGGTTACCCAGTTGGGGCCTAAAAAAAAAAAAAAAAAAAGTTTAAATTTCACTCGTGGCTGCGCCACTCGTGAAATATACCTTTTGGTGCTCACTTGGTGAAATATATTTCGATCTTACACTGAACTAAACAAATATCCTCTATATATTTCATTGAGAAATGTGTAAATATTGTAATACAGGAGATAATGTTTATTTTAATTTATATTACAGGAGGTGGTGGTGGAAACAGTGCTTATTCTCGACCATGTTTATTATCACCAGAACTAGCTGGAGTTATGGGCACAGACAAGGTAAAACATATTGCGTTGTATTGAAGACATTTGCAGCATGTGTATGTATTCGAGTTTATTTATACTTACCACTGGTTGCCCATATGTGTGAGTCCTCAAGGAGAGTGTTAGTCATTTTATATTTTGGAGGATAGTGCAAGATACAGACACAGAAAGATGCCCCAATTCCAGAAGATTCTCCTGGTCCTTTAAAATGGTAAATCGATGTAAAGACTCATTTGAAAGATTGATTAGTTACAAGTCTCTGGCTTTAACTGATTGAGCTATGCCATTATCAGCCCACTAATACATATGCACTGTGATTTTTTTCCCAATTTTCAAAACAAATGGGGCTTTCTGGAGCGGAAAATATGGCGTGATTAATCAGAAAGGGGGGAGATCTGAAATCAAATTCTGACAACTGGAATACCATTTATATAAAAATTAATTTCAATTCAATGTAACATGCGTGGTACATAGCAGAAGCTATCTATAGGGACAGATTTATGTCATCTAGCTGATATAAGTCAAATGCTGTTAAGTCACTGCTGCACTTGTATAAAGTCTGAGGTAATCTCTTGTTAGTGTTATTGATTGTTTGAGCTGATACCAGATGTTAGGATTGCACTTGTTGGCTACTTATTAAAGTCTGGATTTAGTTTTTTATACACACTAATGGTGATAATTGACCACATTTGATAGAAAAGCTGTCAGAAATTTCACAGGCAGACGAGGACTCACCATAATGATTGTTGGCCATAAAAACATGAGTGCTTGCTAAAATTGGACTTAATTTCTCATGTTTGGTATAACAGTTTATTATGGTGGCTGATTTGTCGAAAATTAACAAGTTGAAATGGCGGGGGAACGAATTGAAAACAAATCATCTACCATAGTTTTTATATCAAATAGATTGCTCAATTTTGGTTTTTATCTGCCCGAAAGAATTTCGGGCATATTATGTTATACCCCCTGGCGTCTGTCCGTTAGCAATTTGGTTTCCGGAGCTGAACTTAAGTTCCATTCGGCCCACAATATTCAAACTTCATAGGATGATTGTCCATATTAGGTAGAAGACCCCTATTGATTTTGGGGTCACAAGGTCAAAGGTCAATATTAACTTTAAACTGAAAACAGTTCAGTTTCCGGAGCATAACTTAAGTTCCATTTGGCCCACAATATTTAAACTTCATATGATGATTGTCCATACTGGGTAGAAGACCCCTATTGATTTTGGGGTCACTAGGCCAAAGGCCAAGGTCACTATTACCTTTAAATTGACAACAGTTTCCGGAGCATAACTTAAGTTTCATTTGGCACATGGTGTTCAAGCTTCATATGATGATTGTCAATATTGGGTAGAAGATCCCTATTGATAATTTATGTAATTCCCATGTCTTACAAATGCTTCATCCTTACTAAAAAAACAACACTTTCGGGCATATAATGCTCCGCCTAGCGGTGCTCTTGTTTTGACATGTAATATTTGGATCTTGTACATTCCTCATGCCCTAGTTGTAGTTATACCTTTGTTACCTTGTCATTAGGGCTTCTAACACCCAGTTTATACTTTCTGCTGTGGCTTTATACTGTACAAGGCAATGTTGATACGAATTTTGTAAGGAAATAAGCCGTTGGAAGGAAAAATTATTGTTTATCCCAGGAGCCTTAACCCCCCTACACTTCTGTAAGGTCCCCAAATCTTGTTTACTGCTGGTGATTTTCTTGAATATGTCATTAATATTTCAGTGTATGTAACAATGTTGTTGCGGGAAATAAGTGGTGCTTCTAAATTCAACCTTATATTGAAGTATGAATACAACTGTTACAAGACCACAAGTTTGTTAACTTACACAGAGGATAATTTTACTCTATGAAAATGTAATATTAATAAATAACTTCCCTTCTTTATAGTTGGCAAGAAATGAAATAGTGAAGAAAATGTGGGAAATAGTGAAGGAAAGAAAGCTTCAGGTAGGTAATATGATGATTATACTGCATATCTTGGTTACATTTTTAGCAGATTTATTTTTGTCAACATCCAGATTGGTAACATTTCAGTGGAACTTGTTGACGTCACCTAGTGCTAGATCAATTTTGTAAAACAGTACAGACTTACCCGAGTATATTTTGAGCTGCTCAGTTGATTTACTTCTCATATTGTAATTCTTTGATTGCAAAATGCACATTTTCAAATTCAAAAACAGGTCTTTAACATTTTTCAGCTGAGAATTAATGGTAAGAAAGGTTTATGCTCATTTACAAGGTGAAATGTTTGGCTAATTCAGTATTTTATTTTGTTTGGAATTTTGTTTGAACAGGGACTCAGCAAAGTGTTGGGCAAAAAGTAATTTAGAAAAAAAAACTGTATATATAATATTATATATACAGTATTTTTTTTTCTTGAATTACTTTTTACACTATACCAACACTGTGCCATGTCCCATACACAAAAAATTAAATCTGGGAGAGTTCCAAGTCAGTAGTCAGTACAAATAATACATGTAAATTTATGTGAAAATACAAACACCAATTTGACTGGCATGAACTTGCATTGTGAGTTAAAGTACACTATATCCACTTGTTAATCATAAAAAATACTAATTCCAAGAAGATTGGACTTAATTCTACCTTAAATAAAGTTAGATGGTTAGATTTTTAATTATTCTGTATTTAGGAATTCAAAAGAAAGAAAAGCAGTAATTGCCTGCTGTTACCTTATAAAGTATGACATTTCATTTATAATGTGCTTTAAAGTAAAAAAAAAAGTTTGGTTTTTATCTCTCGGTTGTGATATAAAGTTGTTTTTGGTTTTTTAGCTCACCTGTCACAAAGTGACAGGGTGAGCTTTTGTGATCGCTTTTCGTCCGGCGTCCGTCGTCCGTCCGTCGTCCGTCCGTCCGTAAACTTTTGCTTTAAATGACATCTCCTCATAAACCACTGAGCCAATTTCATCCAAACTTCACAGGAATGTTCCTTTGGTGGTCACCTTTAAAAATTGTTCAAAGAATTTAATTCCATGCAGAACTCTCGGTTGCCATGGCAACCAAAAGAAAAAACTTTAAATATCTTCTTTTAAAAAAAACCATAAGAGCTAGAGCTTAGATATTTAGGCATTGAAACATGTTCTAATGGGTGTCTACCAAGTTTGTTCAAATAAAAGCCCTGGGGGTCAAAATTGGCCCCCGCCCCTGGGGGTCATTGATTTTCCCTATATGCATATAGTAAAAACTTAAAAAATCTTTTTTAAAAAACCGTAAGAGCTAGAGCTTAGATATTTTGGCATGAAACATCTTCTAGTGAATTTCTACCAAGTTTGTTCAAATAAAAAAGCCCTGGGGTCAAAAAATTGGCCCCGCCCCGGGGGTCATTGATTTTCCCTATATGCGTATAGTAAAAACTTAAAAAATCTTCTTTTAAAGAACCATAAAGAGCTTAGAGCTTAGATATTTGGCATGAAAACATCTTCTAGTGAATTTCTACCAAGTTTTGTTCAAATAAAGCCCTGGGTCAAAATTGACCCCGCCCCAGGGGGTCACAGATTTTCCCTATATTGCATATAGTAAAAAAACTTAAAAAAATCTTCTTTTAAAGAACCAAAGAGCTAGAGCTAAGATATTTAGCATGAAACATCTTCTAATGAGTGAATCTACCAAGTTTGTTCAAATAAAAGCCCTGGGGTCAAAATTGGCCCCCCCTCAGGGGTCATTGATTTTCCCTATATGCATATAGTAAAAACTTAAAAAATCTTCTTTTAAAGAACTCAAAGAGCTAGAGCTAAGATATTTAGCATGAAACATGTTCTAATGGGGTGTCTACCAAGTATGTTCAAATAAAAGCCCTGGGGTCAAAGCTGGCCCCGCCCGGGGGGTGGGGGTTATTGATTTTTCCTTATATGTGTATTAGCAAAAAAACTTAAAAATCTTTTTTTGGGAAAAACCCAAATAGCTAGAGTTTAGATATTAAGCATGAAAACATCTTTGAGTAAATATCTATAAAGTTTGTTAAATAAACGCCCGGGGGTCAAAACTGGCCCTGCCCCAGGGGTGTCATTGTTTTTAACTATATGTGTATAGTAAAAACTTTAAAAATCTTCTTTTAAAAAAGCCAATGAGCTAGAAATTAGATGTTTACATGAAACATCTTCTTGGGTGTCTACCAAAGTCTGTTCAAATAAACAAATAAAAGCCCTTGGGTAAAAATTGGCCCGGGGGTGTGGGGCCTATATACAGGTGAGCGACCTCAGGGCCATCATGGCCCTCTTGTTTTACAATACAATAGTATTCTAGTTACTTATTGTATGATATTGTATATTTATAATTATTAGGACCCTAAAGACAAGAGATTTATGATATGTGATGAACAACTACAGAAAGTATTTGGTAAGTTATCCTCACTCTACACACAAACACCATTGTATGGGCAGATTATAATACTTGTGTATTATTAGTCATAAAGACTTATGTCATGTCAAATGACCCAGTCTATATTTTTGTAAGTTTCAATTCACTAGGCAAGGGTTAAATAGCAAGGAACCATTAAACATGCATGGTCATATATTTTTTTTTTATCTGGGAAAGATTAATTTTTTTTGTTGGCATTTGAAATGCCTGTTGTTTTCATAACCATAAAAAAGATAATATGAACTTAAATGTGAAAAATAGAGCTGAAATTTGAAAATAGATATATTGATATGTAATATATTAGTTTATCACATACCTGTGTCGATTTAGCGACTCCGTAAAAATGGTATTGCACGTCCGTGCATATATCTTGACGTGACGTCATTTGCCTTATACAAACATAGTGTAAAGATGAGCTAAATGTTAGCGTTATACTATAGGCGGGTCAATGAAAAACGACTCTTTTTTACTTTAAATGGTCTTTATTTTTGGTATGTGATAAATAGAATATTAAATTCATGTAAGTTCATTACTGAATTTATTGAACTCCTTATATAAAATAATTATGCTCGCATAATATAATTTTATTCAACTTGTTCAATGAATTCAATATTGAACTTACACTCATTCAATATCCTCTATATATATATTACAGGAAGGAAGCGTGTGAAGACATTTGGAATGATGAAATATTTGTCATCTCAATTACGAGACGAGAGTTCATCTTTAGAGGCAGTAATAACAAACAGTGATATATATGATGATGAAGCTGATGGTATGATCAGTCTCTTTATATTGACCAGAGATTTTTTTGGCTTATTTTACGGTCGTATTCCTAATTGAAAAATAAACAATTATTTTCCCAATCCACAGGAAAAAATTCCCAATTGAAAGTTACAAAATAAAAATACTGAATAACAAATTCTAAAATGTTTAAAAATAAGGGCTTCTTCACTGTTATGGTGCTTAAATGTTTGAAAATGCCATTCTAGACAGCGATTTAAAAATTTCTGTCATGCTTTTTTTTCCCAATTTGTAACAAAACACTGCTGAATTTCCCAATTCCATGGGTATGGGTCATGTTCCCAAATTCCTGGGGAAAAAATCCTGTATTCTATAATTTCTTAATATTCTGTAATTTCTTATTAGTCTATAACTTTTCATATTATAGATAATAAATCTGTTTGGATAGTTGGAAGAGTCACTTTGGTTTTTTTATTTCGTTTAATTTTGTAATTTAGAGAGCTCTTTTTTTTTTTAAAGAGTTTCGGTTTATTATTTACAGAGATTTTCTGTTATTGATTCAGAAATTTGTTTGTATATTTATAAATAGAGAATTTCTGTTGATAATACTAGAGTTTCTTGCATATCAGACTGGTGTTTTACCCATGCTGGAAATTTCATCTGAGTCGCTTGCTATTCAATGTTATGTTTAGGATGACGTAATTTTACCGTTTGAATAAAGTTTTAAATTCATATGTTGCTGTAAGAAAATAGTTAAGGGTGTTATGACATAAAATTCCATGGAAAATGTTTTATTAAGGTAAAGAGTTTAAAATATGGATAATGGTAGAATATGGAAGAAACAATATCTGACATATGTTTGCAGTTCAAATGTGAATATCCATCCCCCTCGGTAACTTGCTCATGGGCAGGTCCCCTCGGGACGGATATTCCAAACTGCAACATATGACAGATACTGTTATTCTGTTTATATTTTAGATAGAATTTTCGGTTTATATTTTAGAGACATTTTCTGTTATAAATTTCAGAGTTTTTTCTGTATCATTTCAGATGATTAGAGGAGATATGGTGTGGTCATTGTGTAACTTGACTCAAATTAATGGTGCAAATCTGACTGTTACAAGTTTGATATAAATAATATACATGTCTGTATTTTTTTGGAGAAGGAAAAGAAAAAGAAATTTGACATGTTCATTGTTAACTAAGTACAATGTATAGTAGACATTTACTAATTGATACAATAATTTGTTGTCCAACAACTTTTGTTAAATATACTTAATGCATTATAGAGATGATGATGATGATAATTTGTTGTGAAATAGATATTATTGTTAAATATTCTTGATGTATAAGGATTGATTATGATGATGATGTTGATGATGATGATGAAAACTTTGTTATAAAATAGAAAGTAACAAGTGGGCACCAAACCTGTTGACTTGAGTTGTTGTAAATAATAAGAAAAATGATATTTTTTGCGGCATATATTTTAACACATGTTGTTATATGATAAATTTACTATCATTTGATACATAAACCATGAAAATTGAATGTTGATTCAACAAGACTTAAAAAGAGCAATTCTAAACACCAAGCAAAGAAACCTGTATTGAAATGTATGAATTCTTGCCTAGAGTTTTTGACCAAACCCACATTGTTACATTATTCACAGAAGTATCAATGTTCAGGTTTTTTTTTTGTTTTTTTTCTTCATTTTTTCCCTCCAAGCAAATTGTTTTTCACATGGGACATAACTTAATTTTTTTAGAATTTATGTTTATACAGTATACTTCTTTTGACAATAATTAGTGTCTGATAATGAAATATTCTTTATGTATTACTCTTTTTACTTTTGGATGTTTTATTTTGGTGTAAATATCTATCACAGATGTATTTTTGATGAAAAAAATACCTTTTTGGGAAAAAAAGTTTTTTAAAGTTGCACACCTCCCAAAATTTTTTTAAAAAAATTAAAATTGTATTTAAAAAAAAATTGGGTATATCCTTTTAGTTGCCACCTAGGTTTATTTTAAATTTATACTGACTATTTGTCAAAAAAACCCATACCATTAGAATTTAATTTTTTCATGGAAAAGGCCTTCCGTCCCCCTTAGCTTAACATGGGTAGCACAGTGGTGGCTACTTCAATTTCCAAAAGGGGGAAAAAAAATTTCTCAGAGGGTTTAAAGAAATTTTTGAAAATAAAATAAATTTGGGCATTTTTTTTTTCCCCTGCCCGATTCAGAAAAACATGTGGGGGAAAAAAACAGTTTAGTCACTTGCTGAGAATATGGTTATTATTTGTTAGTTATCCAGGAAAGTCTTGTCAGTCAAAACTGTGTTAAAGAAGCATGAAAAATAGATGAAGATATATGCTGAAATGCAAAAAGAGTGATTCACATTTACATTAATGTCTTCTCTACCAGTCGTTTTTTTTTGTCAATAAGCCACTTTTAAGGGTTTCTTTTCTTAAACTAGAAAACCATTTAAGTCAAGTTCACCAATATGTTCTTGTTGTGCATGTAAATGTGTTGAAAATTGACTATACTTAAACTATACCAGTAAAAGTTTTGAAAAAAATTAAAATATTGTATAAAATTTCATAACATTTAAAACTGTATAAATAACTGTGAATCATGAGTATTGTATATGTTCTTTTTCTAAATTTTGTTTTCTAAGTTTTTTTTATACAATTATGTATATTTCCATTTTTTTCATATATGTTACTGTTTCTCTTTCATTCATTATGAATGTTTGATGTTTTTTTCTTTATTTTGTAAATGTTCATTAAAGATTTTGTAAGGAAAGGGGCCATATATGTTCATGTTTTGTTGAATATCCAATCTATGTTGGAAAAGCCAAGTTACAGATTAAAGATGTTTGTTTAATTTTTTTTTGACATGCATGTTTTTTGAAATTTTAAACCTGATAACAGAGTTTGAAATTTTCTTGACATGTTATTAAAGTTTTAATAATGTTAAGGACAGAGAAATAGATGTAGTATTGTGAAAATAAGCGGAAATGTTTTCTAACATATAAAGTAAAGTAATGTCAAGTAAAGTAATGTCAACAGTGTTGTATGCTAACAAGAAAATTGTGATTAATCAAATCTTTGTGGACTTGACAGGTCTTTAATGTTGTGATTAATGTTTCTGAGGGATCACGCCTTTTCCAGATTATTTTTTTCCTTTAAAATTTCTAAATTACTGTATAGAAAATTGTCAAGTCACACAGAGTATAGTACACTGCTTAATTAACCTTTTGTTTTTTTTTTCTTAAATCATATTTTACATGGCTTGTAGAATCAAGTAAAATGCAATGTTTTACATATATATATGATACAGATAACAGTAAACTCTTTGGAAATTTTGAAATTATTGGTATAATTGCTTAAATTTATTTTTATAGTACTGAATTTTTTTTTAGTTCTTTACTATGTAAGTTTAGTTTTCCATGAATAAACTTTTTGTTTAACAAGGTAAACAGAAATGAAATAATACTTAATATTGTATTTGAATCATTGTGTAATTTTAAGTCTGTTTTAATGTGACCTTTATAAAATATGCAGAATAAAGTTTGATTTTACAATTTCTTTTGTATATATAGCATACAGGAATATAGTATAATATACCAGTATGTACAAGTGTTGTTTTATTTGGAGTTTACCACATTAATGACCTGGAGAATATTATGTATGTCATCAATCTTCTCATTATTTTATGTGATCATTTTTAGCCAAGATTTCCAATTGAACAATCTGGTTACAAGACTGATAAATGTCTGGGGGAGGCTGGGCGTAACAATCTCTTCCCTGCTCAACTCCTCATAAATCTCTCAATGGATTTTAACCTAACTTTCACAGAATATTTGTTTTCAAATGTTATTAAGTGCCCTTTAACATATTGTTAGGATTTTGTGATATGATTATTTATGCAGAAATAATAGCCCTTGGTTTTGATTTTGCACATAAACCCTGAAATAGTATATCCACTTCCTGTCACTGGTAATTATATACATGTAGTGTAAGACTGTTATATTGTAAAGGTCACATTGAAACCGACAACATGCAACTTGTTTAATATTGTTTATTTTCTTATTTTACCAGTGTCATATCATTTGATTACAGAATAGCTGTATAGAATACTGCAGTCAGTAATAAAGAAAAAGAAATTTGTATATTATATTTCTCTCCTTTCTTATGATATTTAAGAAACAATATCGGTCCGAGCGGTGTTTATCCGCTATTTAAAACTGGTTTGGACTTTTGATGCATGGGGATTGACCTGAAGGCCGTAGACATGAGTGGTTTATTTTTTGGCCTTAAACGATAAACTGTAGGACTTGTGTATAGTAAAGGAGACCATTATAAACTAACTGTACATAAACTATAGGACTTGTGTATAGTAAAGGAGACCATTATAAACTATAGGACTTGTGTATAGTAAAGGAGACCATTATAAACCAACGGTACATAAACTATAGGACTTGTGTATAGTAAAGGAGACCATTATAAACTAACGGTACATAAACTATAGGACTTGTGTATAGTAAAGAAGACCATTATAAACTAACTGTACATAAACTATAGGACTTGTGTATAGTAAAGGAGACCATTATAAACTAACGGTACATGAACTATAGGACTTGTGTATAGTAAAGAAGGCCATTATAAACTAACTGTACATAAACTATAGGACTTGTGTATAGTAAAGGAGACCATTATAAACTATTGGACTTGTGTATAGTAAAGGAGACCATTATAAACTAACGGTACATGAACTATAGTACTTGGGTATAGTAAAGGAGACCATTATAAACTATTGGACTTGTGTATAGTAAAGGAGACCATTATAAACTAACGGTACATAAACTATAGGACTTGTGTATAGTAAAGGAGACCATTATAAACTATAGGACTTGTGTATAGTAAAGGAGACCATTATAAACTAACTGTACATAAACTATAGGACTTGTGTATAGTAAAGGAGACCATTATAAACTAACTGTACATAAACTAAAGGACTTGTGTATAGTAAAGGAGACCATTATAAACTAACGGTACATAAACTATAGGACTTGTGTATAGTAAAGGAGACCATTATAAACTAACGGTACATAAACTATAGGACTTGTGTATAGTAAAGGAGACCATTATAAACTAACAGTACATAAACTATAGGACTTGTGTATAGTAAAGGAGACCATTATAAACTAACGGTACATAAACTATAGGACTTGTGTATAGTAAAGGAGACCATTATAAACTAACGGTACATAAACTATAGGACTTGTGTACAGTAAAGGAGACCATTATAAACTAGTTATCATTAACTATAGGACTTGTGTATAATAAATAAGAACCATTATAAACTTAACGGTACATAAACTGTAGGACTTGTATATAGTAAAAAACCATTTCAAACTAACGGTACATAAACTATTGGACTTGCGTATAGTAAAGGAGACCATTATAAACGGTACATAAAATATAGGACTTGTGTATAGTAAAGGAGACCATTATAAACTAACAGTACATAAACTATAGGACTTGTGTATAGTAAAGGAGACCATTATAAACTATTGGACTTGTGTATAGTAAAGGAGACCATTATAAACTAACGGTACATAAACTATAGGACTTGTGTATAGTAGAGACCATTATAAACTAATGGTACATAAATTATAGGACTTGTGTATAGTAAAGTCTTTTGAAGGAAGATCTGAAATGCACCTTTACAGGTAAAACTAGTGTTAAATCACTGATGTGTGCAATATCTAAATAAACAACATCTTGTGTACATACATAAATTTTATTTGATCTTTTTTTTTTATATTTCCATCATATACATCCACATGATAATAAGTGTTAAAATCTACATAGTTTAACAATTGTAATATATACATTACGTTAATGACCTAATGGGATATAAAAACAAAGTTTTCAAAATGTTTCGAGTTCCAATAAACGATTCACAAATCAATAGACATACAATGATTTATAACACAATAGTTTAACAACACATATATTTTACTACCAGTTTATATCAGGTATATTTTGATCTGTGTCTGATACAGATTTCTTGTTGTCATAGTAACAATTAAACCCAAAACCTGCTAAATTTCTTTAATGAACTTTTTCCATTTTTTGAACTGTGAATAATCAATTTTGCGGATATCCAGATCAATTTTTTCTATGACCCTTAAGCACAAAGGAAAATTTCATTCACTTACTAAATAGTCACCTAAAATTGACTTTACATTGGGTTCCCAGAAATGTGTTTTTACATAATGAAAGGGTATATCCCCCACCCATTTTTATCAAGTACCCATTAAGTAGTAGTTCTGTGTATATAAAATTATTGCCGTCTCTCGTTTTAAGGTCCAGTGACAAGGCACAAGATAAAAACGAGGTAGTTTGTATGCTTCTATATGTAAATATTATGGCCAATCATCGGGACATTCAAGGGGAGTGAACAATGACACATCAAATACATGTACAAGTTTGACTACAGTTAACATTACCAACTTTAAAACAAACATTAACAACATATCCTCCCATAATTATAACAAAGTGATTTGTTGAACCTAATGCAAATGTTTAACCCAAAATCACAAATGATACATAAAGAACTTCCAATTACATTCCAGCATATTCATCAAATTAAATTTTTTACATTAATCTTCTCACAGGATAAACAATATAAATGAATGGTGTGTAGAGGTTTTAAAAGTCCTGAAACTTGTGTTGTTAGTGATTTAGGATTATTATTCTGAAGTATTTCAGAAATTTGTTCGATTAAAGTTGGTACCAAATTAAAGTAACCAAGTCATTTTTGTGCATTGATTCATTTTTGTATTTTTCATGTACTAGCTAAATACAGAAATAAACAAACACTTTTTGCTTAACATGTAATTATCTCAGAATAAATATAAAGTTTCCATACATAGACAGTACAACATTCCACAATAAACTGGTAGTAAGATATATGTAAAAACATTCTTACAACATGTATATTACAACAATCACACATTATACCTTGTTTCAAATTTCCATTATGGAAATAACAAAGTATTTTTCTATTTTATATGTTTTTCTTTATGAAAATAAACAATAACAACAAATATACCCCACATAACTATTTTATTCATTTTGTAATCTAATTCTTTAACTAACAATCTTTTATGGTATTTACCCTTCCTTCAAATTGCTTTCACAAATCTGAAATGTTAATTGAAGAAAAATTAGTTGACTATAAATATTGATATACTAGTTTCTATCTATTATATTATATGTAGAAGAAAAAGTCATTAACCATCAATCATTCCAACCCTTAGCCGCCCCCCAACCCCCAAAATAAACTTCCATACCAATTTATCTCTTGTCCCTAATTGTACAGTATCGTGCAAATTAAAACCCTCATGTAACTTTAACATACAATCGTGTATTTATGTCTAATTATTCCAAGTAGAAGCAGTCTGATTTTTACAAAGCCCAGCAATTTTCAATCTAGCAATGAGAAGACTTGTAACACCCCACAACTGTAAACATGAAGGCAAATAAAGAAATGATGGACTTTACAAAAGCCATGATTTTTTGTACATACTTACACCATTATTAAGGCATTTTGTCTGTAGACATAGCAACAAAATACATCAAAATAGTAATATCTGTGTCTGTATGAAAAATGTGTTAAAAAGAAAATAAGTTTCAAAAAATGGAAATCAAACAGAAAAACTAAAGAAAATGATATGCAGCATATTAAGTATTTAGGCCTTTCTATCACGGAAATAAGAGCAATTATGCAATAAGCAGTTTTCATCCCCTTGAACTGGGAAGTTGATTAATCATCCATCAGATCCAGACAGATGATACAGTAAAATAAATATGGACAAATTGGGAGAAAATAAATACTAGAATATTTACACTATCAAATGTTTAACTAGCACTTAAAAACTGACCTATTGCTTCATTTATGTATAAATATCAATATACAATGTATATATATTACTTTTTGTTCAAAATATCATAAACTTATACTTTGTCTACAATAAAAATTTATATAAATAACTATTTTTTCTAGCAGTTCACATTTTCAGTTCTATTTTATTTCTGATTTTGAAGGGCATTCAACAGTGTCAATATTATAAACACAATTTTTCTTATCTGTAAATCAGTAACAAAATAATATATCCAAACAACTGACCAAATATCTATAGAGATATTGCACATAATCCTGCTGCTTAACACCATACAAAAACCTTATAAAAATGGCCTATTGTTTGTACATACGTGAAAAACTTCCTTTCCCTAATTTTTGCTAATAATAGATAAATGAACTGCGTCACAACAAAACCAACATAATGGGTTTGCGACCAGCATGGACCGTCTGATCAGGATCCATGCTGTTCGCTTACATACTCTATAACAAGTAAAGAAACTGATAGCGAACAGCATGGATCCTGATCCGACTGCGCGGATGCGCAGGCTGGTCTGGATCCATGCTGGTCGCAAACCCATTAAGTTGAATTTGTCTTGACGCGGCTCAAATATTATTTTTCATGTATAAACCTCTCTTCCCCCAAAAGTAGGATGTGAAATTGTTTTAAGTGCAATATTCATGCGAAATTAGAGAATGTTCAAATTATGGATCCATAATAATTATGTACTAATATCTTACAATTTCATTTTAAATGTCCCAATTATATCGCAGAAATGTCATTTTCTATTCCACAGTATAAAATATTTCATAGTTAACCTGTTGGAGATAAATGACTTTCATTTAGACCCTTCATTTCACTAGTCATGTAAATGTATGGCGATAAATGCTGTATATGGAATAAAGAAGGACGTAAAACTAAAATATTATACTTTTATGACAATGATTTTTTGTGTGTTTAATCATGCAACTTGTATGCCATTATGTTCAGCAGTACACTTGGCAATGAAAACCATTATGAATTCAACTTAATACAAAAATATATAACTCATGTTAATGAAAGATGTATTTATGACACATCTTGTTTTATGCCATACATGGTCAGGCTGAAATAAAGAGGTGTGTAAAATATTATTACAGAATTCCAGACGTAAATTATACCCAACTGAACTAAAATGAAGCTTAACTATTAAACAATACAAAGTCTACAAGATCAAATAAGTCAGGTTTAACAGAAAAAAACATTTTTTTAGAAGTGTTAGACCCATTTCTACAAGAACTTACAACTGGTCAATACAATATTTCCTTTAAATATCAGATCAATTAAGAGTCTTGCTGTGAATGTATGATGCAGATTGTATGTATATAGTGAAAGATGACAAATCTTTCTTACTGCAGCTGATCTAAAATTCTGTAATCAAAATATTACTATATCTATTACATTAAAAATACAGTAACACCATTTTTTCACTATTAACAGACACATATACTTAACTAACACACACTTTACTCCTGACACTGTTAACAAACATATACAAACAACAAACTGTGCGATTACTGACAATTTAACATATCACAGCAAAAATAATCTTACAAAACAAAATATACTGTAACAATCTACAAATGTTTCTACTTTCTACCACCTCTTGTGTTTTTTATACTTTTGGCCTGTGTATACGTCAGAAATATTTCCCTGTATGTATAAATCAGGCATAGTTTTCGCAGACCAAATCTTTTGTACCTAGGATATAGATACTAAATGCATTGTCCTAATATTTTTGCTCAGTTCTAGTTCAAATATGTGTAAATATAATCACTAAGGATATATCTCACAATGATGAATTATACCAGAGTGATTATTTACAAACCACCTGAACTGTAAACCAAATTTCACCACCTGAACTGTAAACCAAATGAATAAACCAGTATATATTATGATAATACAAGAAATATTAATATGTTGTATAATCAATATTCATCCTACATTGCTCTTAGAAAAAAAGAATGGAAATTCGTTAAATTACAATTTGTGGCATAAAGTATTTTTACCTGACATCAATTGCTTTATATATATATTATAAACGTGAGAGCTTAGTCATTGAATGGAAAGGGTGTAATGACAACCATCTTAATTTATTTTTTCTTTCTTTCTAAGGATCTTTTAATGAATGAATCATAAATGATTGACAGCCAATTAAATGTATTAATATTATCAGGAGTAATATAAACTAAATTAGAACATGATTCTATGAATGAAATATAAATCACAGTAACTTTACGGAGCCCTTTACAGTTGGAATGTAACATTAAAATTTCACCCACATTATTTTTGAAAAATAAATCTGAATTGTAATTCTGTAGAATATGAAATATCTTATTTGTCCTTCCTGTACATAAAACACTCTTTAATAATAAAATTTACTGAAAAATGATAAATACATGCAAACATAAAGCAGATTCTAGCATTTTTAACTTTCTGCCTTACAGGTAAAACAAACCTATCCCTGTTTTACTTCCAGTATCTATATAACATGAACAACCTCAAAATATATCACAGGGTGAATATGCTATCATTATAAAATATTCTATTCTATTTTATAATCAAATTGCAAAAAATCTTTGTCTCAGAATGTAATACATTTACATCAGGTGTTACTAATTATTTCTTGAACATTTTTTCTTACATGTTATTTCTAGCATTGATGAATACCTGAACAAAATACACCAGAGAGTGTGATGCACTATAAATAGATAAATAATTAAGATAGATAGATAGATAACAATGAGTCTACTTAATTTCACTCAAGAAAAGAAAAACCTTCCATTAAGCCTATATTATTATTATAAAAGATTTAATTCTTTCACTTTTCTTAATGCCTTAAGATGTTTTGAGCTACATGTATAACATGTCAGCATTCAAGTGTCACAAGACACTTAACTGTTAGCTAATAAGCTAAATCATTATAGCATTTTGATGCTGAAATGCCAATAACTTACACTATATATTTCCAATTTGAAAATAGGGCGCCAACGTTTTTCACCAATCAATCTTCGTCTATCAATGTTTATGAATATTAATGTCCTGTTATGAATAAACATGATAATATAATCCATACACTTTTAATTACACTGCCGAATTTTCTACGAAAATGTAGCGGCAGTGAAATTTTCCGAGCTATTTATCATCTTTGGTTTGCCGGTAAGATTAACTTGGAATGAACGATCACATATTTTTTTCTTTAATTCATGAAAACATCTAGGATGTCTGTCATTATTTAAGCGCGCCAAATGCTGAAAAGGCGTTATCTGTTTTTTGTTGGAATGCTGCCGTACCGACCATGGTGTTTTGAACGTTCATGGTTGACTGCATTCGGACTGCAGTGCCCCCTGGTGTCATCATTGAGCCATGCATGCCGTACCCTGCCTGGGAGCTCATCCCCATTGCCATACCTGAAAAATTAAACAAATGAACAATATAAGATTGACGATTGCTCTAAGAAATCAGGCGTTTAGTGTTTCATAGAGAAGTATTTTAACTATTATACACATTTCTTCAAGAATTTAGGGAGCAATTCTAAATTCAGTAACACACACTTATGCATGTATTATGTTAAGAACCTGCCCCCCTTTTTTTTCTGACATCCTATTTGGCTAATCACACAAATGGTTTCATTTATTCTTAGATAATTCATTTAATCTATAGTCTACAAAAAAAAAACAACAAATAAATATGTTAACATGTATAGGATATATTGTGCTTTTGTATGCTGGTAAAAATATTCTTTTAAAAAATTATTGAATTTATCAAAATACATTCAGATTGTATTACATGTATGCCGACTTACCAGAGCCCATCATAGGCTGTCCTCCCATGTTCATACCAGCCATACCCTGGGTAATATTGCCCATTCCTGGGTTACCAGTTGGTGGCATCGTACCTGAATATAGTAACATTATAATAAATAAAACATTATAAGCCTAGTTTGTGACATCATACCTATTTATAATAAAAATACATCATAACCCCAGTTGGTGACATCATACCTAAATATAGTAACATTATAATACATAAAACATTATAAGCCTAGTTGGTGACATCATACCTATTTATAGTAACAATAAATACATAAAATACATCATAACCCCAGTTGGTGACATCATACCTAAATATAGTAACATTATAATACATAAAATACATCATAACCCCAGTTGGTGACATCATACCTAAATATAGTAACATTATAATACATAAAATACATCATAACCCCAGTTGGTGACATCATACCTAAATATAGTAACATTATAATACATAAAATACATTATAAAAATTTGACTTTTATGGATGTTTATTTTTAGTAAATTATCGTCATTTTGTAGTTCATTCCAAAATCTTTTCTAACATCAGATTTTTTTTCTGCCTCATACTGTCGTGCAAAACTATTTGATATCACAGGTTCAACCTTAATATTATACAATCATTTAAAATATACCTTTGTTCTGAAGTTGATTCATGCTAGGTTTATGTTGTTGTTGATATTTACTGGCAGGACTTAATGCCTCTAGGCTGATGTTAACTTTAGCAGCGTCAGTAGTCCATGTGTTAGCTGAATTCTGAAAATATAACATCATAATTTAGAATCAATGGAAGATTTTCTATGCAAGTTTTAAATTACCGTTCTCTGCTTCATGTTGTTGTTCTTTAAAAGGGGTGTGGTAGGGTAACACTTTACAATAATTTTGCTTGTTTAATTTGTTACCACAAACAAAAAAAATATATAAATAGTTACAGTTTTGAAACTTAGAAAAAGGGGTGGAGAATACTTTCACAATGTTTTATAACTGTTTATATTTCATAATTAGATATTCAAGTATAGAAGATATATATACATATATACCAATATAATTGGCATATGACACAAAGACATATGAAGTCAGATTAAAAAGGGAGGTAATAAATGATAAAAGGTTAGTAATGTACATAAAATTTACAAAAATATTTTATGGAAATTGTTAGATATAAAAGGATGGCAAGTTTCAAATGTCTATTAAGAAGACAAAAAGATCTTTTAACGAGATATAGATATAACAAGAAAATCTATTGTGTTTTTTCAATGATATAACTAACTTGAAAGTTACACAGTTTTACTTTAAGTCACATTACAGAATAAGTCATATACTGTAAAATCATTATTATTTATGGGGCGATAATTTTCATTTTGTTTGTTTTGTTTTAGGCCACACCAACATAATTTAGGTCATATGGCGCTGAAACAGGAAAGAAGATTTTGGCTAGTCTCAGGTATTACAAACTTAAATCAACATCAGGAGTCAGAACCACCTCACCCCCTGGAGCTTAAAGTTGCATAGACTCAATAATTCGAACCAATTTAGTTGCCTCCAGTGATCATGCAAAGTTAAATATCAGCAATTCTGAGGCCTCAACCGTAAAGGCAACCCTTCCGCCACAAAGGATACAGTATTAATGTAACAGAAAAGATATGAGTACTGGTATGAAGGTACATAACTTGTCAATATTGAATTACTGTTGTACTAAATAAGCTGTAAATATAATTCAAATCAAGAGTAAGGGCTCTCTACAGGTAAGGCACACTACAGGTAAAACAACACTAACACATTAGTTAAACTGTGTCTAGATAGGCTACAAAAAAGCTAACAACAACAACAACAAAACTACAAAAAAGCTAACAACAACAAAACTAACACCAAAGGAAACAAACAGATTTTTGGAATTACAACACAAAACACTACTTGTCTAATAATGATCTATGACATCATAAAACAAGTACATGTGTACTGATATAATGTTCAAATACACCAACACTAATATGAAGATTCTTTTCTAGGTGAATGTTGAGTGGGACATGGAACATAGATGCCGCCCTACTTGTATCATATCATACTTAAGAAGCAATCACTGACCTTACAATCCCTTAGACTTTGATATTTTTTTAAAAAGTGAGGGTTAAGGGGTGTAGCTGAATAACTTATCCTAAATCAAGAGTTGAGAAAATGATCTGTTGTTCATAAGAGAGCTGGAAAATACATAAATCCTTTCACCTTAAATCACTAATTTCTGATAACAATGAGGAACTTTTACTATTTTTAATGTTTTACATGTATACAGGAATTGGTAAACATTGGCTAGCACATAATTATGATATAGCAAACAAAGGGGAGATAAAACATTAATATTATATAACATATCTGGATAATGGATATGAAATAAAGACACACCTGTCGTTGTATGTTATTGGACGATGTTGTGACAGTAGTAGACTGTGAGTCACTAGTCTTGCTATCCTTCTACAAGTGAAAAATGTACAATCAAAGCTACATATTGCCATCATTGCCACAAACATAAGCCTTGTGATTGCCAAAATTCATATTGCCATTATTACCAAAACAATAGTATTTGTGATTGTCAAAATCCATATTGCTGTTATTGCCAAAAACAAAAGTTTTTGTGATTGCAAAAATCCATTTTGCCGTCATTACCACAATATTAGTCTTTGAATATTAGTTTTTGTGGTTGCAAAAATCCATATTGCCATCATAACCAAAATATTAGTCTTTGCGATTGTCAAAAATCAATATTGCCCAAGTGCCAAAATCAATAGTTTTTGTGATTTTCAAAATCCATATTGCCTTAATGTCAAAAACCACAGTCTGTTATTTAAAAATTCATAGTGTCTTGTTGCCAGAACAACAGCCTCTTATTGCCAAAATCCACTGTGTCAAAATTCATAGTGACTTATAGACAAAAGCCATCATGTTTTTGCCAAAATCTATGGCGTCTTATTGCCAAAATAATATTTCATTCTTTGTTACAACCACAACGAAGATCACTTACAAAACTCCGTTGGAATGACCTTAAAAGGCAAATTTTGTTTTTACATCTACTTTTTACTCTGGTATTCAGTTTGATAAATTAAAATATTTCAGGACAAAATTGAGAATTATTGTGTCAATTCCCTTTATTTTCTTCTTTATACTTAAAACACTTCAACCTCCCCCCCACCCTGTTTTTACTTTAATAATCAAAATTCTCCCCCACCTGTTTTTACTAATCAATGTTCCTTTTCTTTCACATGGTAATAATTTCAGTTTCACTACTAAAACAACATGGCACTAATGAACATGTAGCTTTAATTGGTAACATTGTTCTATTTTAATGTTAGTACAATAGACCATTAATTAATCAGAATATACAGCTTCATTAACCTTAACACTGGTAAATCAAACTATTGTTTAATTAAAATCATTTAAAGCCACTGCAATCAATTAAACAGTTCTATAAATAGATCACTCGTTCATACTCACATCATAATAATAGTACTGAACAGAGAAATAAATACAAATTATTTTATCATGCAGTAAAACTGAATTATAAAGTTGAACAAAAGATAAAATAATAAATTACTTATAGCAGTAATATATACATGAATTAATCAAAGGGAAGTGTATGCGTTGACCATCCCTAAAAAAATTGTTGGTTCTCAGTTATGACACTCACTTTAAACAGTAGGTCAGATAAAAGACATTTCTATATTTTACATTTCCGCATTGTTGTTTTTTTTAAATTTAGTAAGATACATCTATTAACGAAAATCATGTGATCCAAAATGAGTTTGGAAACTCCTACAAGGAACATGATTCTAGCTTGTTGCAAACCAACAATTTTGTCAAGTATGGCCTTCAATATCCATACATATATTAAGCAAATATCTAAGACTTGAGGTAGATAGGTTTTATAAATGTTTCCTATTTATTGAGTTTTAAATCACTAAACTATATTTTAGTGATATGGTGTCCAGCAGTCTGCCAAAGAACTAAGAATATTTATAAAAATAAAATTTTTTGAAATTTTACGTGACAAGCCTGTCCCTAGCAGGACTTAAATCACCTTTATTTCAAATATTTAAATTCAATATAATACATGTATATAAATTCAGTGCAAAGTTTTAAAATATGGACTTTGTTTCTTCTAAGGTTTTAAACCATAGCTCAACTTTTTTGAAAAGTGGAGCTAAAAATGGAGAGAAAAAAATTGCTTTTATAATATTCTTTTATGTTTCACTTCTTATTTTTCCTACCTCATGTCCCACAAGATTATACCCAATATCGTGATTCTCATGCATATACATACATTTATAATACTGCAAGTTTATAATGTTCATTTATTTATTTATTGGTCAATCTGGACATTTACTTTATCTATTTTTTATCTATACATACTGTAAACTTGCAAGTTATTTCCTATTTTAATCAAAGAAAGCAATTTAATTCATAAAATATGAGAGGATGAACACACAGCCAACATTGAGTAGGTTTACAGTTAAAAAGTTTGTTTGTCTAGTTTTTACAACAATTTTAAAACACTTTTGGTCATATCTATGTGGTTTATAGGTAATCTACCTTACCCACTTTCCTGGATTACTGACCAGCTATTACCATTTTCACTGCACAACAGACTACTGATTGCACAGGCTTTCTTAATTGGCAGTGAGAGACAAATGACCTTTAACCTCAAGTTCAATGGTTTATAAAGAAATTTCACCTTACCAGCAGATCAAACCAGCCACCCCTAGATTACAAATTAGATGTTTCCCAAATTGAGCGAAGCAGGTGGGTGAAAGAAGTTAACTGTATTCATTTTATATATGTAATTTTACTTTACAAGGTATTCATCGGAATGCATCAAATAACAATTGTGCAGTATTATAAATATGTTATAAAGACCTTTGACAGGTTATATGTTTGTGTTATATGGCAAGTTTTTCTCCCTTAGTAGCTCAGGTTATATAAGCATACAAGCATTTGACACTTTGACCATATATCCTGTCAAAAAGCTTTTATATTAAAAATATTAATAATCTATCACCAGAACAATAAGGATTCAACAGTATGAGAATTTGATATAAACTTTTAGCAAAAAATCTAAATTCTTTATTTGCTACCAAATATGGCTGTACAAACTCAAAATAATTCCGGTCATTTTACATGTATTCTATTTACCAATTACTATTTCTAGATGTTAGTAACTAACAAAACATTGTAAGTTGGTGTAAATACTACTCGCTAAAAATGAGTTTTAATTGCTTTCAAAAAAGTAATGTTGAATCCTCTTAATTAGAGTTGATATAAAATGGTAAATGTGTTAATGTATTAGTCCCTACTTTTAGACTGTATGCAGTATTTTTTTTCCTGACTATTTAAATACATCATGTTTATATATATTTTTCTAAGTTAATACATCTATTATTTCAGGGTATTTTTTCTTTAACGCTAGTTTCAAAAGTACACCAATTCTGCACCAAATATATCATCAGTCTTTACCTCAACAATGTTTCTAAATTCCTTTGTTAAAAATCAGGAGTTAAGTGCCAATTATTTCTTCAATCATTTTAAGTTGTTAGTAGGAATTAAAGTACTCTGTTACTACTTTATCACAAATCAGATATATTAAGAAGAAAGAGAGACCATGCCAATATATCAAGACTTTTAGCAATGTACACATCCATGCACTAAGCTAAGATTTCCAGATCTGATCATTTAACCTGTGTACCATCAACTTACCTTACTGTACTATAATACCATATACTAATAGTCATGCAATCAGTAATAAAAGTAGTAAAAGTCTATGGTTTCTCCAAACTCAGTTTTATAGCGGAAGAAAACTCCACCTCATTTTCAGAAGTGGACTGTAGCTAGCTCTAAGCATTATAACAATATAGAAGTCTTTACAAGATAAGCATCCTTTAGCCGCCCGCCCAATAACTTACCTTGGGTCCCATGTTGGGCTGCATCATCCCCATACCTTGGTTGAAGCCCATAGCCGCAGACTGGGGCTGCATAACTGGCTGTAAAGGGAGACAATAACACAACATAAAATTACAATAAACACATGCATTGATAAAACATACATTCAAGACATTTATACAAATAACACCCTTCACCACAATAGTGACTTTACATGGGCAGGAACATTTACTTTTACAACTCTTCAATCCTAACTTAAGATTTTAATGAAAGACTAAATCACATCTGTTCTACGGTTACCACAATTTTGCATCAAACCGTAAAAGTATTTTTCTTTAAGTGAAAAAACCTTGATAAAAGTGGGAAACAAATCTGTGTAAGAAAATCTAAACAAGCACAGCTGTAGATAAAATCAATTTGTGGACAGTACTACAACAATCAAAAAATTTACATAAAACTTTCAACTCTAAATGTCATTCAATTTCTTCTCAAAAGACAAACCATTCCCATAAAACCAACATGCATAGCAACAATAAACAACAGCTTAGCAACTACCTTTAAATATGTTTTTTTGTTGTTTTTTTCTTGTTGTTTTGCCTTAGAGCGTAAAATAATTTAAGTATAACACAAATAAGATTATAAACATGATAAATATCTAGCTTTTGTTTAAATTGTGCCAATTTTTGGTTATCTTTTTATATGTATCAAAAGTATTGAATATCATGTTTTTTCCCCTAACAATATTTATTTTAAAGGTAGTTGTAAGTATTGCAAATCACATGATCAGGAAAATGTGACAGTTCTATGTTTACCTGACCCATATTTCCCATCATTCCTGGATTTCCCATCATGCCTGGATTTCCCATCATTCCCATCTTTTGCTGATTCATCATCATCTATCACAGAACAAATTTAACAGCCTATCTTAATACATGCTTGTTATAAAGCGGGGAATAATAATTTAAGTCCTCATCTATTTATAGCTTTATCCCTTTCACCAGCATAAGAAGAGGTCAAAATTTACAGCACACTTTTAAAAGCAATGTACCATTAATGATAAGCAGTCGTACTGCAGATATGAAAATTTCAGCTTTCATCTCTAACAAGTAATAATACAATAATTTTCTTAGTTGTGTTTGAATGATTGGTGGGTCTCCTAGATTAAAGGTATAAATCATTATTATAGAGCAATCCCAAAAGACTAGAAGCTCATTGAAATAGTTTATACTGTTATAAATTAAATAGTCTTCAAACACACAGTAATGTTTTCATAACATTAAAGATAGTTGTTAAAGGCCACCCTTGACCTGCTGCACCTCCTAAATGAACTTATCTGACTTCTTTCCTGAACTTTGTCTGTTATTAATTTAGGGGATTATATCCATACTTTAACAAGAGCTGTCTGTAGGACAGCATGCTCGACTATTCTAAGTGCTTGATAGTAAAAGAGCCTTGATATTGTTAAATTTTTTAAGTTCACAAAAGGGCTAATTCTTTTTTATAAATTCATGTTATAGGCCTTAGAGAGAGTCTAATTATACAGAATTGGCTTGACTATTCGGAAGGTAATGTCACAAGGGTTTTTTATTGAGTATAATAATACTAATTACCTATGAATACATAAATTTGACAGGAAAGGTACAAAGGCTTGTTATTAAGATATTTTATCAAGGAAATCACTACTTTATTATTATGACTGCATAAAATTGTCCCAAAAAAGGCACAAACCCTTCAGTAGTTATTGAGATAACAGCTTACAAGCAAAACTTTACCATGAATTTCTAAGTTGAAAAAGGGAGAAAAATCAGCCAAAATGCAAGATAGAATTATGGATCTTTGTCAGTGACCTACAATTATGACCCTAAATGCATATGTGAAGTTTTAAATAAATATCTTTAATAGTTATTGAGATATGTAAAACTTGCATGTAAACATTAACCAAGAAACTAAGTAGAAAAGGGGATATGAATCAGCCTTAATGTAAGATAGAGTTATGGAACTTGGTCAGTGACATACAATTATGACCCTCCAATTATGACCCTAAGTGCATGTGTAAAGTTTCAAGTAAATATCTTTGTAAAGACCGTTAACCAAAATTTCTAAGTTTTAAAGGGGTAAATAATTCTGCAAATATTGCAGACAGAGTTATGCAATTTTGCAAACTGATGTACATTGTTACTATAAATAAGTATTTTAAATTTCAATTGATTATCTCAAGCAATAATTGAGATATTTGACTTTACAAAAAACTTTAACCAAAATTTCTAAGTTCCAAAGGGGCATAATTCTGTCAATATGGTAGGCAGAGTTATCCAACTTGTCAATCTGATGTACATTGTTACTATAAATAAGTATTGTAAGTTTCAATTGAATATCTCAAGCAATAATTGAGATATTTGACTTTACAAAAAACTTTAACCAAAATTTCTAAGTTAAAAAGGGGCATAATTCTGTCAATATTGTAGGCAGAGTTATCCAACTTGTCAATCTGATGTACCTTGTTACTATAAATAAGTATTGTAAGTTTCAATTGAATATCTCAAGTAATAATTGAGATATTTGACTTTACAAAAAACTTTAACCAACGCAGACGCCGACGCCGACGCGGACGCTGACGCCGACGCCGGGGCGACTACAATAGCTCTCATATTCTTCGAATAGTCGAGCTAACAAGGACTAGAGTCCAAATGGACATTGGTGGTATAGGCTTTGGATTTTCCTTACCAGCATTGTTAGGATTACTAAGCATTAAAACACAATAAATATATATCTGCATCTTGTAACTATAAGTACTAACATGCAATTCGTGGTTTCTACAATTAACAATCCTTCACCATTTACAATCAGATATTTTTATATAATACAAGTATTTCAACATTCAATGCCCTTTATTAATTAATTTACTTACAAAATTTTGACAAGTATTTGTCACATTATTATGTGTTGATGAAAATGAATAACCATCGTTTACCAACAAATCAACTAATTAAGACCTACATAGATATTCATTTATGACTTGTGGCTTCCCTACATGTACTTTCAACAACCTAGGTTTTTTATGGTTGGGTTTAAGGTTGCTTCAACACAGTAGAGGTCATAAGGCAAATTTCCAGCTTTACTGGTGGAGGAAGACCTCAGTTGCCCCTTTTGGCATGAACTGGCACTTGAGTAAAACCACCAATGTTCTGTAAGCTAGCTGGATAGCCATGGTGGGATTCAATCCCACAGTGGTGACTAGCAAGTGGTTTGAAGTCAACGACCTTAACCACTTGGCCTGTTGGCAGGTAAAATAAGCCATGACTGGTGAATTACTATCCAAGTATGTAAATAAAATAAATTTGTATTTAAACAGCTAAAGATCAAATTCTAAAAGATGTTTACCGGTTGCTGCATTCCCATCATACCAGGATTCATTGCATTAGGCTGTGATGACATAATTCCTGGTTGTGATGACATCATATTAGGCTGCGATGACATCATTCCTGGTTGTGATGACATCATATTAGGCTGTGATGACATCATTGTGTTAGGACCGCCCATTAAATTTGAGTTGCCCATAATATTTGGTTGATTTCCCATCATTCCAGGTTGCATACCCATATTTGGAACATTAGGTCCGCCCATACTTCCCATAAGTCCCTGATTATTCACTGAATTTATTGCAGCCACATTGTTCATATTGTTTACACTTGGTTGTATGGGTACACTAGATTGCATAGATGAGTTTTTAGCACTAAACACATCAAATAGATCTGAAGAGTTTGTGTTTGCACTTGATTGAGATACAGTTTGACTAGCATTAACCTGGGAGAAATCAGCAAATCCACCATTTTGACTGAAAAACAAATTGTTTTATAGAAATGTTTATTATTTGTTGATGCAAAGCAAGTGTAACCAATGTGCATTAATAATACATGTATTACTAGTGAATTGACACCCGTAAACTTGCAACTGCAAATGTCAGTGAAAAGTGGAAATTTCCAGTAGTTTTTTTTTTGTAAGCTCAGGTGCAAGTTGTGAGAAAGGAAACTAAGCTGAGAAAAGAAATTGATCTGATGGATATTGACGGATTAAATCTTTAGCTGACTTTCTACATTACTAGGTTCTGCCCCGTTCTGGTAATATGTAGTTTTCTTACGCTTTAACATATATGACCAAAAATCTACCAAGGATAAAAATAAACAAAGACATTTGATGTATGTATAAACAACTATTTGCAAGTGATGATAAGTTTTTATGCGCTAAATTTCCTTGTATTTGGCATAAAACTTTCACCCTAACTACACTTAGTATCTTAAATGGACTTATCTATCTTTCAAACTGGACAAAACCATTCATTATTTTTTGGGAAAATTTCAAAATATGTACTGACTGAAAAGCACACAGTGCAGACCATGCTGCACTGGTAGCAGGAGACTAACATGTTAAATTAGTTACCTGGCAGTATTTGCCACTGGAGCAGCACTAAAATCAGCAAAATCATCTAATTTAGATCCTGAAATAAACAAAATAGCATCGTAAGTGTTAAATTTCATACATACAACAACATTTTCATCTCATAACTGTAAAATACTTCTACATGTTTAATGTATAGGTTATAAAATATGAAGAATATTTATCTATTTGAACATCTATGGGACATTTCTTACTCAGACAAGTGGCATCTGGCCAAAACATATAATCCAACATATATACAGACCAGAATTATTGCAACGTTTAATGGTTTAAACATAAAACATATTTAATATTTTCCACAACACAAAACCTAATTAAATTAAACTGTTAACATTTAGCTCTAAATTTTTCATCTCTCAAATTCCACATCATTATACAAATGTATTCACACATAAAAACATGAAACACATCATGTAATGGAATTGTTTTATAGACAGAAAATTTCAGTTTAATTATGTATCCAACATGTTTAATTATATCACTAACCAAATGTCAATAGAAAGCTACGGTAGCTTTTAATTTTGATTACAGTAATATAAAGGAGGTAAACAATGGTACACAATATACCCTGAAATTAACAGATTAATATTCTGAACCCAAGCCCTATATGTAAGCAATTTGGATAACTTTATTTCGCAAAGAAAGAAAATTTAACCTTTTTCATCTCTTTCTTAGACATATTGGTTTTCAAAAGACAAAATATTTCTTTAAGCAAAGAGAAGTAACTACTTTTCTGTTTTGATTTTTTGTCTTAATTTATAATGAAACTTCCAAAATAAATAGGTACATTATGACCAAAAACCACCTTCTGTACATTACTTTAGGCACCAACACACAGCTTCAATGTAAGTAGGCTCATCTAAATTATCATATTGTCACCTTAATGCAGTAATGGGTTAAGTCCTACTAAATTAATAGCAGTTAACCAATTATTGCACTGAGGTGATTATGTTAGTTAAATTGACACCTCCTAAACATAAACTAGCTTTACATCCCATTGACACAAGTGTATTAAGTTGTATAAAGAATAATAAATAATTAGATAGATACCATCTGTACTAGCTCTAGGGTTGAAATCGTTGTTGGCGGACTGGAAATCAGCAAAATCTCCAGTACTCTCACTTCCACCACCTACAGGGTTCCCCATATCCAGTAAATTTGGTCCGTTATCTAAATTTGACCTACTTGAAGTACTTGATATAGACTGAAAAATACGTGAAATACAATCATGGAAGTGTTACAGCAATATAAAGCCAAGCCAACATACACACCCATAGTGTCTACACTAACATAGAGCTGCTCAATGACAGTTGAGGAGAGTTAATCAGGTAATAGTTAATCAGGTAATATTTTGGAGGATATTGGGAGACAAAGCAAGTCTACGATTCAAATGAAACATACTGCAATTGGCTAAAAACTGGAAACATTAAAAAATGTAATTGACCTACCAGTTCCACAACATTTTAAAGGGCTGGCATATAAATACACTATATATAAAAAGGAGGCTGTTGGGAATGGGGCCTCAATTCGGTACCTGGCGATACAGTGAAAATGCGCAACCAGGTACTAGTGTAAAGCAACAACCATATGCGACCTATGTTGATAGGAAGGTAATGATTTAGCAGTGAGATTATGACCTATACCTGTAAATCAGATGATGTGCCCTTTAGCTGATTAGCAGCAGCTCCAAGATCTATCTGTTGTTTAGCGCCAGATCTTCGCTTCGTTGATGTTATTTTTTCCGTTTTGGTTGTTTCTGTTCTCTCGTGGTAGGTATATTCTTCACTGTTGTTATCTTTAAACTCAAAATCATCATCACCAAATTTATTATTATGGTCTGTCTCCTCACTGAAAATGGTCAAAAGTATATTTTTAACTCATTTTTGAAATTAGATTTAATAAGACAACAGTTTACTGATTTATGAAATTAGATTTAATAAGTAAACAGTATACAAGGTTATCTTGAAATACATGTACAAAATAGCTTTAACAGGACAGTATCAGAGGAAAGAATAACCTATTTTGTTACATAATTTAACAATAAGGAAAGTTTTTTTTCCTCTAAATAAGACATTCTATTTTTTATAAATTAAAAGACGAAGATAGCAAAATCACATGTTAATATTTCAACTTGATTTTAATGTTATGTTTTTGATGTCAATACTGAAGTAAAATTAAAGTACAATTAAAGAAAAGTCTAGAAAAAAATCAAATGTCCAATTAGTCATTACATCCCTTATACTCATTGCCTATTTTAATAATTATTTTCCAACATTCAGTATTACACATCAAAACCATCATTGTAAAAAAAATACCCATTAATTCCTAAGCCTTTCAGTTTTATGTTGACAGGATGAAGCTGTATAACATAATCATTTTACTATGAACTTGCTAAATGTGATAAATAAATATTAATACATTTGCAATGTGTATATTACTTTCTTTGTTCACATCACAATATTTTACTATTAATTTTTATGAAAATAAGCATGAATCTGGAGGCTTGCTGCTTCAATACAATCAGAAACAAAGGTATAGTTTTCATATATTATAATTGTAAATAAACCTCAAAAATCTCAGACAAAATCAATATACTAAATTACAAACTTTTTCTCAATAAACAAAAAGAAATTATCCGTTCATAACACAACTTACGTAAAAATCTACAAAGTCACTCCTGTGTTTTACAAAAGTACCACACAATGATGTCACTCTCAGGCATATGAATGAAAGTTTCTAGAATGATCTATTTTAACATGACTGTAATCGAGTAGTTATTTTAACCTATAACCCGAAATTATTTCTACATGAATAGATCTCACGTTGTATAATAGTGATATAACTGCACATGTATAGAGTCTATTAATAGTAGATCACAATGCCATGTGACTGCAGAGTCACCATTTTTTCCTGTAAGCAGTATTGGATTTTACGTTACAATTGAAACACAGTGAGATATTGACCTGAAAATAGCTAAAATTTCATTCTCCATTCATTAATAGGCTCTCCTTTTTTAACTGCTGTCCATAAATAGGTAGTAACATTTCAAAAGCATGAAATGCTGTACTAATGATCATTTATATTTCCTGTGTAATTATTCTAATATTAGAAGCCAGAAATTCTTAGTCATCTATTTATAATGTTAAAGTTATCTCATTTGAACAATTATTAATAAAGTACAGTAAACTATACAATAAAAGGCATATCAACTTAATAGATAACACACATTTAAACAAATTATCTCAAAATTTGATCAGTTACCTTAAGGAAAATATTACACTTCTTATAAAATTGAGTTACAATTAATTGTTACCATAATGGATAATTCATAATTTCTTTAAAATATAATTCAAATGTCATACTCATAGAACTTTTTTATTAAGGAAAGTAACCCACCGCATCCAAAATGCACTTTATATTGTTATGAAAGATATTAAACCATGCGATTCAAGATGATGTTTTTATAAACAAACTAAAAACTAGAGTTTAAAATGAAAATAATTGAAATGTAGAATTTGAAACACAAACAAAAATAGCATGGCAAGGAAAATTTCAAACAAAAGTCTACAGTCACAAAAGCTAAAATAAGAATAAAATGCAACCAAACAATCGAAAAACATTCTGTAAACATGTATGTGTTTATATTTAAAATTCAAGAGAGCCTAACATGGGCAAAATAAACTTTATATATGCATTTTTATCCTAACCATAATAAATAAGACTCGATCTGCTTTTGGAGGTCCGTTTTTATTAAACTTCATGATCCTGCTATATGAAAAGGTTAAATTAAAATGTAGTACTAAGGAATGGTCTTGATCTATAATGATGGTTTAAACAGGTTGTTATCATCATAGGTAGTATGAATTTAAAGGAACTTCACTGAGATCCAAAAGCTTAAAAACATAAAAATTGAATTTCTTACAAAGATCAGTTCAGACACTTAAAACAGAAAGATATGCAAAGATAATTAAGAAATATACAACACATATCAATTGAAAATTGTAATTGTGCTATTATAAGCCCGATTTTAGTGAAAAACGTTGCAAAACTTCAATTTTTTGTCATTTTTTGCAGTAAGAAGTGAGTGAATAGTCTCAAAATTTTGCACACAAGCTATTTGTCTAGACCAACATCAAATGGAACAATAATCTCCAAAAATTATTTCCAGTTTCATTTATTTAAAAAAAAAACCTCAGTGGAGTCCCTTTAAAAATGTTAGCTTGTAAAATTGGAAATGAAAGGTACATTGCACAAGTATATAAATCTGCTTTATACAAAGGTAATATTTTATATCTTAATTATTAATATCATATGAAAATTGGGACACTTATACATGACATACATACATTACTAATGCTCAACAGAAAACAGAATTTATTTATCAAAGAGGAAAGGAACAGTGATAAACAAAGACATTACAGTGAATTATAAGGTGTTCGATATATTAAGAGTTAACTCCCCTTACTATAAATTATACAACATCAATCTAAAAGCTACCATTGTTGTATGGAAGACTGGTTTCTACAAAACTGGTCAACTTAATAAATATTGTCACTGAATGTTAATGAAAATACCACTTTTCAAAATATGTGTGATCAATACACATGTATAAATCATGAATCATTTTTACGATGAATTTTTAATTATGTTCAGAAATAACTGCCACTAGCATTAATAATTAAATATTCTAAAAATATACTTATCTCAACAAGCATTTTCATGATATTCTGTGACAATACTTTTGTAATAACAAGAGTTACAAAATATGAATGTATAATCTCACCTAAACCCTATAACGTCATGACCCCTGCGATCAGCACTATAGAAGCAAAATGGAGAGAAAGAAATGTGTGATATATTATAAATGATACATTATACATGAACAGTATATGATAATGATGATGGTGACTAACAAATTAGTGGTAATCTATCAATTAATCAAATTATTGTAAAAATTTGGCAAACTTTTTTTATATTCGCTAATCAAATCCTTAAAGGTACCATGCTGTTATCTTTATTAATAATGAGACTTGTTCAGGTTATTATTCTGGATCTGTCCTATGTTAAATTGAGGGTTTTCATATTAAACTACTTGCGAAGTATATGATCATACCTTGTATAGACAAGTCAATGACAATGCTAGACCAATCAGGGGTCAATAATCTATATTTATTTGAAAAATATTAACAGGCTTCTTTCTAGCTCTTTTTCATCTTGAACTGATTTCTATCTTTATAGAGAATGAAAAATAATAAATTTTGCCAAATTTTATGCAATTGTTGACTAATATATCACCTTCAAAACAGCAAATTTTACAGATGTCATCAATTATTTGACACTTTACCTACATATGAAACATAAATGAAAATGTAATGGAAATCTGTTTATATATATCCCATATCCATGTCAAATATAAGTCTCCGTTGTAACTGAACTAAAATAGCACTGGCTAATGACTGAGTACATAAATTTAATAACTGGATATTTTTGTTACACTCCTAAACCTTACATCTGTAATACTCCATACATGTATGTTTATTAACTGGTTATTTTACTTTGGCAGGTTACGTAACTAAGCATATTTCATTTATTGATAAGACAATCAACACATAACATTCATTCATTGTCAAATGATAGCATTAGAAAATTCAAACGAAATAGCATAACAAAACATACAAAATAATAAAACTTATACTTTTAAAATTTTCATTTTGTAAAAAAAAACGTGCAATAAAACAAGCTGTAAGAACCACATGCCTGACTGTATCTTTTAAAAAAAACTCCTTTCTCATTGTTAAGGAAACAGACTGAAAGTTTTGCTAAGATTTACTAACAAAACACCAAGCAGAAGTAATATGCCACTTTATGTAGACTTGGATAAGACAAGAGGTCATGAAGCCTTTGTTAAAAACAATACAACATCACTTTATTGACCTAGAAACAAATGTCTCCTTAACTTGGCCCAGGAAATGACATGTCTTTCCCAATAAGCCTTTGTTTGAACTGAACAGGCCTTATTCTTTATACATGAACTTGCTAGTGCATTGTAGTTATCTAATATTTCCAGATTCTGAACAAGTACTAACACGGTTTAAGACATACGAGTACAAACATTAAAGAATCTGTTTTTCGAGATAAATGTATTCAACCTAATGTCATCAAATACATCTTCAAAGGAAAGTATGTACAAAGGCAAAGAACTTAAAAAAGCAAACAGAATATCCTTCCACCTTATTTGCTATAACAGACAAATTGAGACAGGCATATCTACAGGTTTATAATTTCTAGCGACATTAATTAGTATGATATTGATTTGCAACAGTTTTTAAGCCAGGCACCAGTCAGCTTTTTTACCTCAAGAAGTGACAAGATCTATCTGTCCATGACATATCTCAATACAATTCAATACAATTTGAGAGTTCTAGGTCACAGATATCAGAGACCAAAAAGTGTACGACCTACTGACTGACACAGTAAAAAAAGTTACACAACAACTCTTACAAGCTCGGACACAGATTACAAGATAGAGAAATTATATCAAAATACAGTAGAATTATTGACTATTAGATTTAGATGTTACTTTCTTCAAATATCAATAAAAATAATGAAAATAAAATCATAATATAGATTAGCAGGAAACATTTTAAATCTGACATGCTCATTTTCCAGTTCAAAAAGGGAGGTAATAGGATAACCAATTCACATTCAAAATAAAATATTTCACTTGCCCAACTCCTACTTTTATTGAGCTGAAAAGTGTTACTTTTATTAACTAGATTAAATGTATGTTCATGTATATACTTATTTACTATTAAAGTAACAATAAAACCCCTTTGATTTTTCCATCTTGTTTTATTCTAAATTGTATTGAAAAGGTTTTAATTATATATTAATACACAATTCTTTCCATAGCATAGTTCAATCAGTTAGAGTGCGAGACTTGTAATCTCGACATTGTGGGTTCAATTCCCAGACTGGCCAACTTAAATTACAAAACAGCCTTTTAAATGCCACTTTATATTGAAGTTTGGTGTACGAGTGCTTAAACACTTGGCACACTAAAGAACAAGGAGAATCTTCTGGAATTTTTGCACTATTCTCCAAAATCTAAAATGACTAATACTCTTCTGGAGGACTCATCCATAATGGCTACCGATGGCGAGATAAATAATTTAAAATACACACATATTTCCAATGAATTCAACATACACATAAGTGGTATGCAATTTTTTTTCTATTATGTCATTGTAAATTAAAATGAGCCACGTCATGACAAAACCAACATAGTGCATTTCCTAACAGCATGGATCGAGACCAGCCTGCGCATCCACGCAGTCTGATCAGGATCCATGCTGTTCGCTTACCAACCCTATTACAAGTAGAGAAACTGATAGTGAACAGCATGGATCCTGATGCGCAGGCTGGTCTGGATCCATGCTGGTCGCAAACACACTATGTTGGTTTTGTCATGGCCCGGCTCAAATGATGATCAACACAATTAAACATCACACTGACTACCTAAAATAACAAGTAGAACAGACAGATAGCAACACAAATAATATCTTATTTCTGTATAGCCAAGCTTTTTAACCCGTTCAATAGGAAGATAACAAAATATTTCATCATTTTAGATATCCCAAAATCATCTGCCTATTCACCTCTCATTTATCAACAAAAGGTAATTAGACACATGCTAGCTGGAATAGAGTGTTTGAAAATTTAAAACTGATAAAACTTAACAAAACTTATGCATTGGTATTACATATTTCTAAAACAGTGACTCATTAAACTCTTTGCTAAGTTGCTAAGTTATATTTTCATATCTAACTTACACCACAATCTTTACATTATCTTTTATGATTAGATATCTTGAAGTCCATATCATCAGGTAACATTAACCACACTACACTCTAAACACCTGTTAAGCACTGAGATACTTGTCTTATGTAACCTAATGTCACATAGCAACATAGTGTAGCATAGCAACCAAGCTTTTCTAGACATTACCTGTAGTCAATCGTTTCATCCGGTGCCTGACGCCCGTGTGCTCGGTTCCACAAATCTTTCACTTTGTCTACAGCATCTTCAACTACAGATTTCTTCCCATCTTGCCATTCATCAATCTCACCAAGTTGGTCGTTACGAGTACGAGGTTTCTCATCATAACGATCACCTATATATACACAACAAATACTTCATGTGTTCCCAGCATGCAACTTCAATAAACGAACATATTTACTACAAAACCCTAAAAGGCTCTTAGCTTTCATTTTTAAGACAAATTAACAATACCAAACAAGCATGTCATTTCTTTAATTTTCCTTGATAACAAATCATTCTATGGCATTAAATGAGTTACCATTGTAAAGTACAGATATAATATTTAATAAAATTTAATAAAATTTAATAAATGTGTACTTAAATATCACATAAAAATATCTATATTTCAAAAGCAAGTTATTTAAACCCATTTAGTCGCCTCTTACGATCACACAGGCAATTCTTATGTCTTAACTATTAAAGGCAACCCCTAAGTCACAAGGGTACAAACTTTTACAGTTATGACATAATTCTTTGATCACTCTAAAGTGAACAGTACTGCACTTTGAAGATTTAATGGTAAAACTTTGTTTGTACCAAGGGACTAGATGGGAAAATCCCACATCTGATGGGTTACGGATATCATCTTTTTGTCCAACTGTTTTATTGACAGAACTCAAGCATACAACAATAATCTTACTATAACTATATCTGTTCATGTTATCACCAGACATTCCCTGGTATTTATCCTTGTTCTTCTTTGCTTTCTTCCTTTCTTCTCTCAATCTTTCATCATTCTGTATCAACTCTACAATGTCTTTAGCTTTATGCCGAACTGTAAATTAATATTTCAATATGATGATGCCATCAAAACATGACAAATTATCCATTAATGAATTACTTACAAGCTGCTTTCATAATAAATTTATCAATAGAATAAGGAATTGAAATAAATTTAATCAAAATTGTGAATCAAGCTCACTTTTAGTTAAGTACAAAAAGTATGTGAAATATTTTATTATTAAGAATGATAAATGAAAATAATGATAAATTTAAATATGAGCGACTGGTGAATGAAGCAACAAGGAAGTAAAATGCTCTGATTGAGAACGAATACAATTTAATGAGCTAATACATCGGAAACATGAAATCCATACAATGTACCAGCTGAACTAAACATGGATAAATGTGAGTTTAACGTCGCACCAACACAGTATAAGTCATATGGCTACACAAGCTTTATCACTCTGTATATTATTTCAAACACAAACAGATACTCAAGTAGAACCACTGACGTTAAGTAAGCTAACTGGATAGCTTACTCACATGAAAAATTTGAACGGACGCCCCACAAATGTCCAATGTTGCAATAAAAATATGAAAATCAATGTACATGTATTAAAATAACATGCTATGAAATAAAGGAGCAATTCAAACTGTAACATAAGATACAACTGTATAATTCCTGTTTACCATTTAAGCCCTGATCTTTGCCAAGATCATCTGTGAATGTATAGTTTTCTAGGCTACGTAGATCATATAAATGTTCTCTTGCAGCTGTAACCACTCTCTCTGAACCGTTCCGTATAAGGTATGTCAATAATGTTAATGACTGCAAATATAAACATATAATCAATCATAAAGCAATCATATAACTTAAAACTTAGGTTCTATCACTATCTTACTCTTGATAGCTTCAAGTGAACAATTACAGGGCTTTCCAGCTATTTTGGAACAAGCCATTGGCATAAAATAGGGAATAAAGTATCATGTTACAGCATTTTGGCACAAATGGGCATCTGAATAAAGCCAACAACGTTCTGTAAACTTGCAAGATAGCTTTCTCACATGAAAAATTCAAAGATTCAGACACAGCTCGAAAACACAGGGGTAAGAAGCAAGTGCTTTGAAGCCACTCATTCATGGACACCCTCAACCATAAGGCTGTGATTAAATACAATATATGAAAATGTATAATACCTTATAGGTTCTTCTCCAACTCTTTTTGTTGTCATGGAACATTCTCTTCCACAGCATACCCATGACCTCTGGGAAATGTTCGTATGTGAATGTATACTGTGCAATCTCTGAGCAGATCTGTCCATGAGGTCCCCATGCTTCATCATTTGTTGCCTCTCTTACTTTAGTCTCCACCTCAGAATAGTTCATCACAACATTGGTGCTAATATGAAAAAATAAAATTCATGAATCCTTTTTGTCATGCAAAACTACTGTTTATTACTGGCATGCTTTTATTCCTTTTTATAGCAGAAACCAAATAAGTCTTGCTTGCCCAGTCTATGCGAAAGTCAATTTTTTTTTCAGGCCACAAGGACCGAGACCCTTTTGTTTATTTCCGGCCCGGATGATATTTTTCCGGCCCAGACATTTCAAGCATTATTTATATAATAACTTAGTTGAATGTAAAAATGATCGTCTTTCTTTAAAGTGTGACTATCATTAGTGTGACCATCATATAGAAACACAAGAAGATGCTGACCAATTGAAATAACTTAAGCAGGGTTCTCACTAGAATTTTCAAAGAAGGAGTCCTGGGACTCCCAAGCACAAAAATGTAGGAGTTCCAGATCACTTTGAATATGTTAAAGCCATCTTTGCTGCACTTATGCAGTTGACGATTATGATGTATATGAGCAGAGTAAGGGGTTGGGGAGTTGGAGTTAGAACAGAGAAAAAGCTTATTCAGGAAAATGGTAATATGTTCCAACACTGTACCATAAAAGTGATTGAAAAGATTTGAAATATAATTTCAAAAACCCTACATCATCAGACCATTATGCTCCTTTATTCCAGATTCACTCCACACCCCCCCCCCCCTCCCTCCCATAAGAAAATATTCATTGTATGTGACAAACACATACAGGTAAATACCTCCATCTCAAGTAAAGTAAACAATATCTTTAGTAATTTTAATTCCTAAACTACATTTTAAGTGTTATGACACACATTTTAACAAAACATATCTTCTTTTGGTTACGATTTTTTTAATTATAAAAAGCGGCATCGCGAAAATATGTGACAATTAAAAATTTGTCTCTTTCCTGCAGAAACATTCACAAATCTACTTGTTGTTGATTTTGATTATATTAAATTAAATATTTTTTTATTATTTTAAGATTGTTACTCATCGGCTATTTCAACAGGCATCGTAAAACAAAATTTTCAAATTTGTAATTTACGGCAAAATTTACCGTTGTTGATGAAACTTTTTGAAGACAGAGTTGACTGTACAAAATAGAGTTAAGGTTGGTCATAAATTCTTTGCATCATAGGTAACTTGTTATCAATATTTTTAACTTTTTGAAATTTTATTCGGACATGAGGACTGACGGAAAGGAAATTTATCTCGGACCGCATGATTTTTATTCAGCCAGGACCGAGGACCGACGGACTTTCGCACAGACTGCTTGCCCCCAGAAAATATTTTCAAATCATTAAGTTTTCTCCTTAAATTCAAATAAGCACATTTTTTCTTCAGTTTTGCAAAGATACTGAACATTTTCTCTTGAATCTAAGAGAATGGCCCCTTCCACTACTTTGGGGAAGGCACCCTAGCCCTTTTTACAGGGGAAAAATATATGATTTTTACAATTTTGGGGAAAACATATTTTCTCACTTTTGGGGACACAAGTTATCTGCATATTTTCTTAAAAAAAACCATTTTGTATTCCGGATTGGTCCGACTGTCCGGCTTTTATCCAAGTAGCATGTATACAAAATGGCGTCGCTAAAGGTGCCAAACCTGGGAAAAAATGAAAATCTACGTCAGAGGAGCGCGCAGAACAGCAGTACAAGGATGAAAAGAAACCTGAGACAAAATTTAATGAAAAATGGAAGCAGGACCGTGAATCGTTGGTGTACGACAGGGCGTACATTAGGAGATGAAAATGCACTGTACGGACTGTGCCGATTTTAACGAATCCGGGTCAGCTCGGCCCTAAAACGTACTCGGCCCCAGAGTCAGCTCGGCCCTATTCCAACTCGGCCCACTTTTCAATTATTAATATTTAGGTTTGTGTTATCACTATTTATTGTAGTTATTGTAATTATTTATAATACACGGATTGACAGTTTCCGAATTAGCAGCAGACAGGCTTTTCTTATCGGTAGAATTGCGAGTAAAGATAACCAATTGAGTATCTCACTGTATTTCTGACTCGTGGTAGGTTTAACCGTAAATTTAAATACCTTCAGTGTCAAACAATGTGTTGAAATATATACTGAGAGGAAGCTAAGATCACCAGCTTTTAATTGGTGTAATAAATTTTAAAATCGGACATTAAATCGCACTAGCGATTTAAACACGGCTAAATTTGCATTCTTTTTGCAAGCGAAGGGAAACTAAGGGAAACAACTCTTTTTTTTTTCACTCGATTTACCTCGGTTATTTACGTAGTTCATAAAGAGACTGTCAATTGGTGGAGACAGAGAGAGTTTATAAATATAACAAAGAGCAAACAGTGCTTATATAGAAGCTTATGATATTAAGTAAACACGTTTTTGTTTCATATTTTTTTTAATATTACTTTACAAACAAAATGCATCTAAGGAAACACATTTTTATTTGATCTATATAAATTTTATCGAATCTGCAAGACAAATAAATAACAATTTTTTTCTAAATATACTTTATTTGGGCAGAAGTACAATGTATAATTATATAATAATAAGATATTTCTTATTATTCATTTACCTTAACAACATGCAAAGCAAAGATAATACGTTATATATATTTTTGTAAAGTGGGCCGAGTTGACCCGTGCCAAGTTGACCCATGCCGAGTTGGTATAGGGCCGAGTTGACTCTTTTCCATTTTAACGGCGAAAAGATTAAAATCGAAAAGTGTTTTAGAAATACAAGCACAAATTTTCCTTTGATTTTGATTAATTTTATTCCGTCTGACAGATTTCGTTTCAGCCTGACAGATTTTCATGGTTTGTCAGACCGAATGTCTGACACTTTTTTCTAACTTTCGCAAAGTCTGAAACGGCGCACATCTGAAAAGGCCCTGTAAATGCACATCACCACAACAATTTATCTAATGAACCAATGTCTGACTTTTTTTCCTACCATTCTTATCAAAACATATTTTTCTGAGAAATATCAAAATGTTTGTTTACAACTGTCAAATCTTTCTTGCCCCTCCCACTTTGGTAAAACAGAAAAATAGAAATAAATAAACAAATAAAACAGCCGGTACTTCTAAATTATGAATTAAAATACATTTCTAGAGCTACATAGTCAGTTTCTATAGCCTGTATGTCTTAATTTACTTTGAAAGACCAAGATCGTAGGAGTTGGATACGTGTACAAATTTCCTACTTTCTGTCAAACTATGTAACCAATACATTTCGATGCTATTTTGACTAACTTACACTTTATCTGTCAGTTCCTTTATTTTCCACATGATTTACTGAATAAATATTCTTGCCAACTGTTGTAAAATTTATGTCCGTTTCTTGCGAATTATAACGATGTTTAAAGATTTATCGACTGTTTACAAACTAACTTTGAACGACAGCCATTGCGGTGACGTCACACACAAAATTAAACTTCCGGTTTTCTGGGTTTTAAAAGCGAAAAGTGATAAAAAATATACGGAAAAAGATATTTTTGGCGGAAAGCCCGTATATAACAAGAATCAAATAATCAATATTAAAAATATTAAAGATAATATAAAAATAAAACACTTATACATTGACGTATTTTTTATATTGATTATTTATATGAATTCCCTGCACATGGTTAATATTTTAATATTAATCGAAAACAGTGCCATATATACATTTTTACTATGATTCATTTTGTACATGTTTTCAAAAACTTACACAATTACTGAACAATTTTCATGGAAATCTTGTTATTAGATATGGTATGGCAGTATATGCGCCTATGTTAATAATATCCACAATGGAAATCAAGCCCAAAAAGTAGTTAGTGCTCGCCAATTTTTTTAAGCCAATCACCGACGAGAATTTTTCAAATTTTCAGGTTTCAAATCTTAATAGAACAGATTTTATATAAACTGGACGTTTTATATTATAAAACGCAAGTGGGCGGAGCACTAAGCCGGTTAGAGCGCATATTGGATGTTCTTCGTAAATAAGAAAGCTACAGTCGCTTCGCAAGCTCCACTCCTTTTTAGCTTTCTTATTTACGAAGAACACCCAATATGCACTCTAACCTATACATAGTACTGTATGGTATTTATCACAAAATGGAGAAAGGGTGAAATCTTTTGATCATTCAAGACTTCAAATAAGCCGATTCTTTTAGAAAATTGATAAACTACTACCTGTTTTCATAAACTAATCAATACAGTAGGCTATCAACTTACATGGCTGCATTATTTAAATGTCAATTTCCCAATGTTGATTGAAACATTCCATGAGCAGTTTTTGAAAGTTTAGTATTGAAACACATTAGTTTCAAACAGTAATGTCTGATCTGTGAGTATAGATCACACAGACTACATTACCTGTTATAAAAGTCTCTGCCTTAACATGTATAAACATGTCACATGTCTGCTGTCATCATATTTTCTCCAATGTTTTGACAGTACAGTCAGACTGCCTCACCTTTTCATATTGTTCAGGGTTCTTACCCAACAGTGATTTTAGCTGCATTTAGTGCCTAAATGGACGCATGTACCCTCATTTAACTTAGATAACAAATATACAGCTATCATCACTTCTAGACTGCATGAAGAAATTTGTGTTCTTGTCTATGATACCCGAGCCATGTAAGATGATCATGTGGATGATATTCATGTCTATAATAATAAAGTAGTGTAAATTTAGATAATATTTAAACTCTTGGATAGATCCTTATTTTTCAAAAGCTTTTTTTTATGCTCATTTAGTCATATATCAAAGCCTGATCTTTTGCATTTTGGAAATTAGTATACAATGTAATCAATTTGACTAGTAGTGTTCAGATCTGACTTAAGTTATTTCTTGCATGTAGCATTAATTACCCGAGTTGATTTTAAACATATTGTTAGTATAATTATAGTGAATTTGTACTTTTTACGGAAGTCAAAATACCATATTTAAATGTATACATTATACCTTCGATAAAAATTGTTTCACTTTCAACACTAATTTCCTTAGGTGGTATTAGCATCTCAAACATTCTAAATCCATTATTTCATTATTGTAAAACACATATAAAATTGTTTTAACTACAGCAATAATTTTTTTTATTTCTAAGGCATAATGTGCCTTTAAAGTTTACATGTCCTGAGGAAAGTTTATTGTCAATGCTGAAGATATATAAGCCAGATCTAAAAGTACATATATTGGACAGTATGAAGTACAAAGGTTTTTGGGTCAAATGATTCCAATTCAAGACTATTTCGACCTTGTCCTTTGACCTTCAAAGCCACCTCTACCCTCCACCAACAAAATTCCCCCATCAAAACCCCAACCTAAACCAAAAAGGTTAATTACTGGACAAGGACAATCACCCTATGGAGTTTTAAGACTTTGTTAAACATTAGTGAATGTATATTATACTATATAGATTAGAAGAACGTTTTTAGATTCAACAGGATCGTGACCTTGACTTTCACTTACCAAATTGATACATCTATTAGATAAAGGTTTCTTCTTGCCATGAAATTTGATGGCTTTGTCAGTTTGTACTATTGTTTCTAAGCAAAAATGATTTTCAGATTCAAAGTAGCTGACACTGACCTATCAAGTATGAAAAAGTAAACAGGGAGGATCTTCCTACGAAGTTTGAGCAGATTATGTATTTACTTATAAGGTCACTGTGACCTTGACCTTTTATCTATGAACCCCTCAAGAATAGGTTTTTTTCAATAAGGAGAATCATTCTTTGAAGATTGAACAATAAAACAATTTTGAGCTTTATTTAATGAGGCAACAGTTATGGACAAGCCCAGCCTTCCCTGTGAGCATCAAATATCAGGAATATGTGATGTCTCAGGAAGACACCAGTATAGAGTAAATATACAAAATGTCAGTGCTTTATATTCTTGATTTTTCCTATATGATATTATCATTTATGTCATCTAAAATACAAAACCATGCAAGTTTAAAGATCCTGTAAATCATTTATTTTTATGGTTTTATATCATAAATATGATGCTCAAATTAAAATTTATCAATATTGTAAGTTCTAAAAAGCATCATTTTTAAAGATATTACAGAATTTACATTTCATGAAAACAAAGGGAGATAATTAGAAATCTATTTTCGATAAAGTTCTAAGAAAGAAATGAATGCATATATTTTAATGGTGTAAACATTTGCAGTATATATTTAAAATATTTTTGGATGTTTGGAAATTGTTTTAGAAGAATAATTATATGTATATAAATATAAAATTTCACTGATGTTGTTACATCCTTTACAACACAGCAGCTCCACTGTGGTCAAAATGCCTATTTAAAATTCTTGCATAGATTAAATAAAACACTTAAAATGCAAAGGATCAAGAGTAATATACTCGGGTTCGAAATGAATATCAATTTTTTTGTGCCATTCTTTGGCTAATTTAAGTTAAAAGAATTTATTTTGTACATAAAAAATATCATTCTGAAGAAATTGGGATGAGGAAATGATCTGAAGATTTGCACAGAAGTTTTTAGTTCAGACCTACATCAAATGCTTTACAAATCTCAGAAAAATATTTCAAGTCCCGTCATGTTAAAAAAACCCGAGTGGAGTCCCTTTAACATACATGGTTTGGTGGAACATGGTCTACTTTTAGAACACTTAAAATCATTTAAGTTCACTTAACATTTAGCTGTGTACTGGACTCATGTCCATTTGTGAGACATTATTTTCTACCGAAATTTTAGGATTACCTTGTACATAATAAAGCTAATAGTAAAAAAAACAAGATTGCATTTGAGAAAAATGCTATGCCACCGCATTAATACAACACTAAATAGTAGTGTAGGAACATATTTTTTTTGTTTCTATACAATTGAAGATTGTCATAATGCATAGATCCCTGACCTATCTAATTCTTATTATCAGATTAGTGATTAAATCTGTTGTTAATCAAATCAAAAGATCAGAGCAGGAATATATCAATGCACTTCGAGTCTAGTGAATTTGGGTGGTGAAGGGTCATATTTCACAGCAGCCTAAATTTCAATGACTACAATTCAAAAGGACAACACAGTAAGACACTTTGTCAAAAATCTGAGGGTAAACTGATATCAAAGTCCACTTTACATCTTAATCTGTGCAACATGGTTCAAATTTTTCATAGCTGTAGATCAAAGCATCAAGAAAGTAGGCGTCACATTATCAAAAATCTAGGTCACTCTGATATCAAAGTTCAAAATTTTTCAACTAAAACTGTGCACATGGTCAAAATTTCATTGCTGTACATCAAAGGACAAGAAAGTAGGGGGTCACTGTCCCTTGGTCAAGGCAAAATTTTGGACCCAAGGGTTTAATTCAAAACAATCTTGATACAGGTCCACCAAACAAAACATTTCAAGTCAAATATCTAAGCTGAAAGCTTTCTCCCCATTCAGAAAACATTTGTTTTATTTTTCTGTTTTTACTATGTTGTACATAAATGAGAATCATGCCCCGGGCAGGGCCAGTTTTTGACACCAGGGGAAAAAATTTGAATAACTTTGGTAGAGGACCTATATATGATATTATATAGCAACATGAAAGCTCTATGCCTTGTACCTTCAGACAAAAATATTTTTTATTTTTTACTAGATTATACATAATCACGAGTGACGGTAAATCCAATGACCCCCCGGGGCAGAAAAATATTGACCCCAAGGCTAAAATTTGAACAATCTTGTAGAGGTTCACTTCGCAAGTCTCATGCCATATATTTAAACTCTAGCCTTTGTCAATTCAGAGAAAAGACTTTTTCAAGTTTTTACCTTTATACATATAAGGAAATCTAGCACCTCTGGGCAGGGCAATTTCAACACTAGGGGCAATAATTAAAACAACTTTAGTAAAGGAAAAACAAGATGATATTATATACGCAAATATCAAAGCTTTAAAGCCTTGCACCTTCAGATAAGAAGATTTTTTTAATTTTTTACTCTATGTTCATAGTGAAAATCAATGACCCCTAGGGTGGGGCCAATTTTTGACCCCAGGGCTATAATTTTGACAATCTTGCCTAGAGCTTCACTACACAATGTTTTCATGCAAAATATCTTACCTCTAGCATTTGTCAATTACTAGAAGATTTTTTTTAAAAGTTTTAACATATCAGGATAACCAATGACCCCCGGGGCGGGGGGCCGATTTTGACCCCAGGGCCTATAATTTGAACAATCTGGTAGAGGTCTACGCAGACAATGCCTTATGCAAAAATATCTTAAGCTACTAGCCCTTTTGGGTCTTTACAAGAAGGTATATTTTAAGTTATTACTATATGTACATACAGTGAAAATCAATGACCCCGGGGCGGGCCAATTTTTGACGCCCAGGGCTACTAATTTGAAACAATCTTGGTACAGAGGTCTACCAGACAATGCTTATGCAAAATATCTAGCTCTAGGGTCTTTACAAGAAAGGTATTTTAAGTTTTACTATAATGTCTACAGTGGAAAATCAATGACCCCCGGGGCGTGGCCATTTTGACCCCAGGGCTATAATTTGAACAATCTTGGTAGAGGTCTACCAGACAATGCCTTAATGCAAAATATCTAAGCTCTAGGCCTTTTGGGTCTTTACAAGAAGGTATTTTTAGTTTTTACCTATATGTACATATAGTGAAAATCAATGACCCCTGGGGCGGGGCCGATTTTGACCCTAGGGCTATAATTTGAACAATCTTGGTAGAGGTCTACCAGACAATGCCTTATGCAAAATATCTAAGCTCTAGGCCTTTTGGGTCTTTACAAGAAGATTTTTTAAATTTATTCTTATAATTTCTTTCGGTTGCCATGGCAACCAGATTTCTGCATGGAATGAAATTCTTTGAACAACTTTGGAAGCCCTTCACCCAAGGATCAATCCTGGCAAGTTTGGTTTAAATTGGACAAGTGGTTTTTCACAAGAAGATTTTTTAAGTTCACTATATAATCTATATAACACACACACACACAAACAAACACACACACAGGTGAATCGCTATATGCCACCGCATCGCAGATGCTGCGGTGGCATAAAAACTCTTGGAAAAGGAAAGAAATACCACAAAACAAACAAAGTTACAAGGTATACTTTTAATAGCATTTTTACTACCATGTTTTTCACAATCAAATTGTCACATGCAGTATAATAGACAAAAGTATAAATATTTTAAACTAACACAATTTCTACAGTAATATTATTCTTACAATAATATTTACAACTTTTCTGTTTTCTCATATACCAAAACTTAAGTTTAATTTTTTATTTAAAAAGCATAAACCTTACTGGATTCACCTGATTTTTAACCCTGCCAGGGAAAATCAAATATTGAACAGTTTATGTTTTAATAAACCCATTACAATAAACATTACACAGCAATTTTCTTATCTTAACGTTTGGTGACTTTTTTTTGCACCATCAAACTTTTTATCAAAATCAGTTGTTTCTTAAATTTTCCATAAAATTACTTTTCAAATGTCAAAATGGAAAATGTTCAATATAAATATAATTCTGTACATTAACAGCAATCCTTTAAATTATTTCGGTTAAAATTAATGACATATATATATACATTTTCATGCACATTTTACAGGCTTGAGAGTTGAATTCAGGTAACAATATTGTTTTACTAATAAAACCAACTCTCTGTGATATTAACAATGATAAACACTAGAAATTTATCATAAAGATGAGCAATGCTCATTAATCAAATAGTTTTCTATATTAACTCGCCTATATGTCAGACTGCATATAAGTCGGGGTCTAAATTAAACATTAATATTGATATATTGGTATCACTCTCTTATAAGACCTGTTTAAGAATGTTTACGTAGGGTACTTACATCACAACATTGGTTAAGCCATGATGATAGAGAGCTCTTAATAAAATTTATCTTACTTGAATTTGAGAAATTTGAAAATGTGAAATATGTGTGATTGATATTATGCCAATAATGCACTGATTTTTCCATTTATAATATCAGCAACTTTTGACAATCTGTTCACCTGTCGTACCCTGCTTTAATTTGAAACTCCCCACCATGGTTCATGATGGAGATGTTTATATCAAATAGTTAGAAAAGGTTTTAATGTGTGACTGGTTCAGCTCTAAACTGGTGGTAAAGTAGAAGCAATATTGCTGCTAGATAATTCGTCACCTTAGTGCAAGAACTCAATATCTGCTTCTTTATCTATATGCAGTTATTGAGTTTTTGCACTAAGGTGACGATATATTATGAAAGTACCTTTAAAATGATGAAATACTTCTGACATCTGTTTTAAGAATGGCCTGCTTTAGACCTGGAACAAATTTCTTAAGCTTCTTACATTAATCCATTGTTTTTGAATTTTTTAAGATTTGAGTTTTATAGAATCTTTTTTTGAGTTTGTTACTTAAGGCTCAGAATAAAATAAAGAACATCTTTGTCCTTTGTTCGAATCATTTTTTGCAAATATTAAGTAGATAAATCTTAAGTTTATAGAATATCTGTACATAATCAACTTTTACTAAATTTTATGTTGAATATTCTTTTGATATATTTGCAGCAGTTAAAGATATACTATGCTTCCCATATCTTTTTATTCAAGTTAGACATATCCAATAAGAATTTCATAGATTTCAATTAATTTCTGTGAATAAATATTTTACTCAAGGATGAGCATAGTATATCTTTAAAACAAAACAAATATTTCTTAATATAAACACAATTTTCTGTCCTACCAAGATTGTAAATCCATGTTTTAACAATAATACTAAACAGATATAGTATACACCATGATATAAAACAAATAGAAAAATGAGATTATACAAATATTTTGCATTTTTCACAGGGGATAAGCTTTCAGACAACAAAATGTATTCATTCTTGCAATTCCACAAACTATCATTTACAAGTTTAACCTGAAATTTTACAAATTAGAATTTGCATGAAAGTCATATACATTGTACGCAAACTTTAATATCAGAAGTGTACAACTTTTAAAGCAGCACATCTCCAGATTCATGCTAATTTTCATGAAAATTTTGAAAATGTATTTGAATGTATAACATTGTGAAATAACCAAAAGTAAGCAATTTACACATTATCAATTGCACTTACAACCCACTTAAATTACCAAAAAGTGGTCAAAATACGCAAAAATAGCCATTACAGCGTTAGTAACGTAGTAGAATTATAGTTGTAAATACTGAAAAATCAGTCATTAATCGCACATAACATGTAAAATATTTCTTGAATCTTGAATCATTTTACTTCTCCTAAAATCTAAAAGTACATATTTCTCAAGTTTGATTTTATTGAAATATTTTTATTCATCTGGAGGCATGCAGCTTTAATTAGTCAATACATACACATAGGTTTTTTTTTTTAAAGAAGAAAAAGTCAAATATTTATAAAAAATCTGAACAAAAACTTTGTATAATTATTATAGTATAAGTTAATTGGAAAATAAAACAAAGTAAGCAAAAAGCAAAAATTAAAAAAAAAATCTATGAACACACAGAAGGTTTCTTGTATCAAACACAAAAAAAGAAGAGTTTGTTAAATAACTCTTTAACAGGACAAGTGCCAAGAATTCCTGCAGGGTAATAGTTTCAAAACAAATTTGATTTTTTTCAACATTTTTTTTAAATAAAAAAAAAAACAAAATAATATACGGTTAACAACCTAAAAACAATATCCATACAAATATATAGGATATAAAATCGGTGATTTTTTTTAAACATTAGAATACTTGTAAAATATTAAAATTATGTATAACATCTAAAATAATTTTACCTTAATTAAAAATCTTACCCCCTAAATAAAACTGCGGACGTATTTTGAATAAAAATGTATAAATACTGCATGAAAATAAAACCAGATCCACTGGTCAGCATTTCACTTAAAATTTCAGCTAAAAAATTCACAATTCACATATGAAAATATAAAACATACTACAAAATATATAAAAGAAATTACTAAATGGTAAAAGATTTTATCATAAATCTTATTTAAATATATGACACATGTTGTATAGTTCACAAAAATCACACACTTGTTTCTTTTTTGTTCTTTTTCGCTCGCTTTTCTTTCTGGAGAACCCAGATATTGTCTAAACTGTCATCGTCATCATCATCCGAACTCGTTGAGGAGTCCTCGCACAACCGAGCTTTCTCTTTTCTAACAAGTTCGTTATAGCTCCGAGACGATCTCGGTACCCAGAATGCCTTGCTTGTAGGGTCTATATGTTCAGTGATCGCCATATTTGTTAACTTTTGAAGCACCCTGTCTGTGTAATTATGATTCACATAAGCGTAAGGTATCGCATTTGACGGCGATTTTTCTTTAAAATGTCTATCCCAGTCAAGGGAGCGCTGTTTAATCATCCCGCGATGTTTTGAGTGTTTCTGGGAGTCATGTGACTTACGCGACTTGTTTGCCGGTTCTGAGTTATGATCAGAGTCATTGTATTTCTGTTTTTTGTAGTGTATCTGACTATCAGAGTCAGGAAAAGTTCTATGACTTGTATTATTTTCACTATCAGACATCGGTGAAAGTGGCGGCTTGTGACTAACAATTCCGGTATTATTTGACTCCACATGATTTGTATGGTTAGAATTAACATGATTAGAATTTATATGGTTTGGATACATGTTATTCACATTGGCACCCTGAGGTATACGTTGTTCAACTTGTTGAATAAAATTATTCTCCATTCTCTTTCTATGTCTGCTGCTATTGTCTGAACTATAACCACCGGAATTGGTTCTGTTCCGGTACATTTGAGAGTTTGGTGGTACATTATTGGCTTGTACTTGAGGTACAGCATTTGGTTGCACTTGACTGTCTATTAAACCATATTGTTTATAAAGAGACATGTCTGGCGGACTTGAATATCCCGACATGTATGGGAGATCCCCAGGACGAGGGGACCTTAATCGTTCATGGCTGTATGAACTACTCACTTGGCTTGAACCGTCAAAATCTCCAATACGTGCGACTGAACTAGGACCAGAAATGGTCTGATCAGGCACCTCCCTGTCTGGACTTGATGGCACTGATTGAGACATTGGCAACCCATTGCGAGGCAATGTGTTGTTACGTGGCTGTACTGGCACAAATGCACTGGTTTGATTACGATTTCCAAGAGAAGATGAGCTTGGAGTACGTGTATGATGGGGTACAATACGTGAACTAGTGTATGAAACAATACTGCAGTTTGGACTTCCTGTAAGAATTTCTGGTCTTTGATTTTGAGGTGATGCTGTCTGTTCTCTTTGACCATATGGATGAAATGGGCCGTTAGACATAACAGCTGCGTAACTTGGTGGTGACTGTTGGCGGACAGGCGAACGGGCACTTTGTGTGTCTGAGTCTACATTACGCCCTTGATATTGTAAATCTAAATTCATTCCATTTGGACCATGGTTGCCATCACTACTGTAGCCATGACTAATTCCTCTAGGTCTTTCAGACCCTGAAAAGTCACTGTCTGTACCGTTCATGTTCAAACTTTTGGTCATTTCTTTGCTAAGTAATTTTGAATTATGCTTATTTTTCTTCTCCCAAAACTTTTTAGCAACTCCATTTTGTCTTGGGTTATAAAAGCTTGCCGCGCTGGCTTCATTATTTAAACTGTTACTTAAAGAGCCATCATTAAGCGACTGTGGTTTAGACGGGACTAGATTTATAGACGAAGCTTCATCGTCGCTTTTCTTCACAGGGTTTACATGATTTGTGTGGTTCACAACAACTGTTGAGTTAATTTTAGAAATATCAGTTCCACTACCAGTATTTACATGACCATTTGCTTGAGGCACAGGTTCTGATGTCATTTGATTTGCATCATAAATTGCCTGCTGCTCACAAAAGAAAAATCTTTTCCAGCTTGATCGTGAATCTTTACGCGTCAAGCAAAAGTATATGAGGATGAATAATCCAAGAATTGCACAAAATACACCGTATAAGTAACTGAATATTTTTTCCTGGTAAGGAATAGCACTAAATGGCTTGGCAACAGTAATAGCACCAAAAATCCATGTGAAAATGTAAAGCAGTAAACAAGCTGCTAAGGCACGCAATTGTGTGATTGGGCGCCGCTCATAGTCCATGACACTAGATACTGTCGACTTAACACTCATCTCAGACGTCAAGGATTGTGTTTCAGCTCGGTCCTGATTTGACGTCATTTCAATATCAGTTATATGCAGCTCCTGTGTCTCTTCTACACTTAACAACGGCCCAGTCGAGCTATGTATGACACAGGAAATGCGTATGAAGAAGATAAAGTTCAGCAGTAAAAGGAACGCTACTGGTCCAACAAATGCTCCCAAACCAGGCTCCCACTCAAGGAAACAACTGAAACAAATAAAGGCATAAGTTAATGTTTATTCCATCCCATAAGAAAGAGGAGTTTACTTATGAAATAAATAATATTTAGCTATAATAGTTTTCCCAATGCTTTCTTGAAATGATAAAAGTATAAAGCAAGAATCATACCAGCAATTCATATTGCAAACATTTAATGCTAGGATTTTGATCAGCTTAACCTGTCACTGGGATTTCTTAAAACTTTGGGTCAGAAATGCATATGAAAATACAGATTTGCAAAAAAACTGAATTGTCAGATTAACCAGCATGACAGTAATAGAGTGACCCAACTCTTTACAGGTGGCTTAGGCAAATCGTTATCACCATAAGCATTCCCAGAATTAGCACAAGTTTGTTTTCTGTAATTTAAAATTATTTTCACAATTAGCTTTAAAAGAGATAAAAGAAAAATTAATTTCTTCACTACAATTTAGGTCATTATCACAAATAGCTTTCAAAGAAATAAATTTCTTGACAATAGTTAAACTTACTAATCGTATTCATCATAGAAATCGAAGCTGACTGCAGCAGTTATACCACAGATAATAGTAGGCACACCCCAGGCCAACAGGTAGAACCTGATGATTGGCTTGGGTGGTAAAGGCATCGGGAAGTCAGCAGGTGGTGGTGGTGGCTTCTCCGCCTTTGTAAACTTCTTCAACATGTTGCTGCATATAGAAATGATCAGGGTTTTTCTCAGCAAAAAATGCATAGGAACATTTGTGTAATGAATAATAGCATAAAATAGTATTACTTTATAGAGAATTTATTTTAGTTTGATTTTATAGGAACTTATAAGCTAATAGACACGCGCGAATCTGCTGCTGGAACCAACCAGTACTGAGCAACGAGTGTAAAGTTTCTTGCTCTAGGAAACAATGGCTTGCCCTTGAAAGGGGCTTGAACCCACATGGCTAGTGATCCCTAGATAGATTCATCACAAGGCCATGCTGCCACTTTTATTTTATTGCCAGATTTGAAACAGAAACTGTTCGATTTGAAACAAAACTGTTTCAGAACATGTCTGTTTGATGAAGTTTTCTATTATCACAGTTATTAACTAAAATTATTGTGCTTTAAATATCAAAATGAACAAAAACTTTTTGTGCATATTATGCACAATTTATCAGATAAACACGTTTAAGGTGCCATTTTGTGTAACATAATGTTTACTTAACACGTGACAGACCATGTCAAAGACGCACAGAAATTGATTCGTGAATATAAGTGAAAAGAATCTAATTGAAGTAAAACCAGTTGTACCATGAGTATGATAGTTGTACATTACCTTGCTGTAATTGTAAACCAGAATATGGCGACCATAGAGAGATAATGTAACACTATCCCGACAATCTGACAAGCCCTCTCATGATCTGTACGTTTTATACCCATAGTGAAGCCAATAATCAGCAGCAGAACACTGACACAGATGTTGATGACTGAGTGCTTCATCTTACGTGGTATATTCAAAAACCTGGAAACAAAAAACGCAATAGGTCATTTACTCAGGTTGTTTCAGTATTCACAAGAGAGAAAGGTTAATTTCTCAACAGATTCTATTATCAAACTAAAAATATCTTGTTTGATGATAATAATCAGAATTACAAATTCCTGCATAAGGGTACAGAATTTATAATTTGGCTATAAAATCATAACAATAACCTGATGGGTAGTCTTTTTTTTTTTCTTACACATCAAACAGCACTAACTTGACACAAGAAATGTACATAATGATTGCAAGTATCAATTCATTTATATGAATATTTAATCCTTTATACTGTTATTACCAAAAACAATTAGCCTTTGCCACCAGTAAAGAGCCTGTCTGTATACAACTTAAATTTTTATTTTGATATCCCGGAAACTGATAATGGATAGTTCCAAAATTGAAAGGCAGACAAGTCCATCTATCCACAATTTCAGCAAATTAATCGTTAAGAGGCATAATACAAAAATAAGAAAATAATATAATTTCTATATCGGACTGGACTTACTTGAAGCACGAGACATATGTAATGATTACAGCCATCAAACACAGTAGACATATACAGCTGCCTATGTACACTACTATCTCCATCATCTGAAACATGTTAGCTCTTACTTCACTCTCATCCTGAAATTACAATATTTAACCTCTCAAATAACAATGTTTAACCTCTCAAATAATAATGTTTAACCTCTCAAATAACAATGTTTTACCTCTCAAATAACAATGTTTTACCTCTCAAATAACAATGTTTTACCTCTCAAAATAACAATGTTTTACGTCTCAAATAACAATGTTTACCTCTCAAATAACAATGTTTTACCTCTCAAATAACAATGTTTTACCACTCAAATAACAATGTTTTACCTCTCAAATAACAATGTTTTACCACTCAAATAACAATGTTTTACCTCTCAAAATAACAATGTTTTATGTCTCAAATAACAATGTTTACCTCTCAAATAACAATGTTTTACCTCTCAAATAACAATGTTTAACTTCTCAAATAACAATGTTTACCTCTAAAACAATAATGTTTACCTCTCAAATAACAATGTTTAACTCTCAAATAACAATGTTTTACCTCTCAAATAACAATGTTTTTACCTCTCAAATAACAATGTTTTACCTCTCAAATAACAATGTTTTTTAACTCTCAAATAACAATGTTTTACATCTCAAATAACAATGTTTTACCTCTCAAATAACAATGTTTTACTTCTCAAACAACAATGTTTTACCTCTCAAATAACAATGTTTTACTTCTCAAAATAAAAATGATTATCTCTCTAATATTAATGTTTACCTTTCAAATAACAATGTTTACCACTCAAATAGCAATGTTTACCTCTCAATAAGCAAAGTTTTCCTCTCAAAAAACGAATGATAATCTCTTAAATATCAATGTTCACCTCTCAAATAGCAACATGTTACCTCTCAAATAGCAATGTTCATCTCTCAAATAGCAATGTTTACCTCTCAAATAGCAATGTCACCTCTCAATGTGTTTCATTTACAATGCTTAACTTAAGCCTTTTAATAAGTCTGATATAAATATGTAATGAGTTTTATCTATAAAATCTTGTTCTTAATCTTTAACTTAATTATTTAACTCTCTCAATGCATTTTATTTACAATGCCTTAGCATTTTGGTGAGTCTGATATAAATATGAAATGAGTTATATCCATTAAGTCTTGTCCTACATTTTTAACTTTATTTGAGGTCTAAGAGTTTTTTCTATGAAGCCTTGTTCTTCAATATTGATATTTGAATTGAGTGATATATTTAATGTTTAAAATTTAATGGGGCTTATCAACAGTCTGGTCCTTAAGCTGTTTCAATCTGACCATAACCATCCACCATTTTAGGGAAATTTTAAAAATAAGTGCTCACTCAATAGCAAACAGAGCAGACCATCATCAGAACGCATAGACATGCCAGCTGACCTTGGTCTGCAGTAGTCGCATGGTTAGAATCAGTAGCCCACATCTGGCTAAATGTTAAGATACAATGACACTACTAAGGTCAAATGTTGACTTTCCAGATCACTCTAGAGTATTTAACAATTTTGTATGTGTAAGCTAGTGTTTTGACCTCATTTATGTCATTCATATGAATAGTTTTTATGATATTACTTCCAATTATGTAAAATTCATAAATATATTTCCAAAATAACACAACAGAGTAAGCTTAAAATTATATAGAGCTTTTTGTGGTAATTACAAGAAATACACAATACCTCTAGAATAGCAAAAGCTGTGAGATGATCACAGTGGACTGTGACCAGAGTTTTCTTCCTTTCTGCTATAACACAACCATCTGTGCGCCAGTCTCCATAACCATCTGAAATATAGTAACCATGACAACATCTTCTCAAACATATATTAAATATTGACTGGTCATCTGTGCAGCAAATGTACTTACTACATAACACTTTTAAAAAAAATCTGACAAAAAGACAAAAACATCAATATAAGGTATAAAGTAATTCTAAATGGCATTTTCTTAGCTTTAAATAATGGCACAGCTAAAGGTGTTTTGTCACTCCTAGCAATTGAATAGAATAACAAACCATAATCATGTAAAATTCTTTTCTGAAAGTGAAGAAATTCAATATCAATACATTTTAAAATCATCCAGTTTTCAGAGGGTCTGGTTTTTTATAACCAACTGAAATGGGTGTAAGATATTAGAAATCAGCAATCTTACTCTTCAAAACATTGAGACCATTCTACAGGTTTGTTTTAATAAATCAGCAAAGAAATACATGAATGAAGAAAAACTCACTGAAAGTTTTGCGATTAAGTGAAATTAATTTCTATTTAATTAAACTGACCATTAGCATTGTAGTCCCAGTAAGCAGGCACCAGACTTTTCCTTGTAGATGGTATCTCAAAAACAATCTCTATAGGCTCTGTCAAATTTACCACTTCAATAGCTGAAAAAAAATCAGTCATTTCCTTTTATAACAAAACAATATTTTAAGTATAATTCTCAGTTATCTCCCCAATATTTCACAATAATAACCAAAATAAACAACAAGTATTTCCCTTTATTTTTAAGAACAATATTTGAAGCAGAATTCTCAGTTATCTCCCCAAACTTCACAGCAATAACTAATATAAATATCAGTTACTTCCCTTTATTTCAAGCATAAATCTGAGTTACCTCCCCATATTTCACAAACATAATAATAAATATAACATTTTTTTCTTCCAAACTTTTCAGACCACTAACTGCAGCATAGCATTCAATACCAATGATTTCAGTTTCCCAATGATTAGCAAAACATAAACAATATTAACATCCCCCTGAAATATACACAATTATTCCCTCTTATTTTTAAATTTATAATGATGTTATTTCCCTTTTTTTCTTTTTTCACAGCAGTATATGAATAATAAATTTTCTACCACTGTTGAAATCAAAAACTTAATTCATCTTCCTTTTTTACATTAATATTTTTTTTTGCTTAAAAAAAACAAAAACTCAAATATTTCCTTACTTTTTCACTACAGTGCTTGAAAATGAATTCAAGTAATTTTCTCACTTTTTTTTATTAAATTCTGTCAGTAAAAAAAATATTTTAGGACCAGGAAAATCATCCTATGTTTTTTATTGTTTAAAATACTTTAACGGTATATAAAAACCCATTTACACAGTACCTCACTTTTACAATCTTAGAATTTTATTGTAAACAGTGGGAGCGCAATTACCAGAATAAACCAGAAATAAGTCTGATACCGTCTGGAAAAAAAAACCCGCTCACTTTTACATGTTTTTAATTAAAAATACATGATTATTATACATTATGAGGTAGAAATGTACAATGATGACTATTATATGACTGGCATGCACTTTTTACCCCGATTAAATCTCGTTTAAATTACATTTTTATATACCAGTACTACAACAAAGACAGAATGTATTAAAACTTTCATATTATCATCTAATTCTCATATTCACAGAATATACAAGATTACAAGATGGGTGAGATCATTTTTTTCGATTGCCTTTTTTCTCTCACAAATTAAGAGATTGCTTTGTTATGTGTCTGTTATGTGTTCTTACAGTATTCTAGCATTACAGTATTCTAGCATACAAGCACGATGATGTTACATCACCAGTGTCCAACGATTCTGTACCAGCTTTAACAAATGCTCTTTGATATAACACTTCTTAATATGGTGGCTTACTCACAACATTTCATATTTTCGCTATTTGTCATGAAAATGCAAAAACATAATACATGTATATGACCAAGTTCAACTTGAGAATGTGAAACTGCAAAAACAAAGATATTGGACAATGTTGTATCTTTGTGTTTTTGCATGAAAGGTTGTGTTTTTTTACCGTCCAGTCAGCTCAAAAGGTAGAGCATTGGGACTGTGAATTGATGACCCAGGTTTGATTTCCGGATGGTGCAGGTCATTTTTGTTGTGACTGATAATAAAACCCTTTATACAGTAATTAGCACAGTATCTCTGCTCTGGCATGTACAGAAGTTATCAGTTACTTGTGAAAATGAAAGCAGCTAACACTGGTAAACTGTTTGACAAATCCTGCCCAGGAACAATGCTGTGGCTGACATGTGCTCTGGTAAATTCAATGTGGCTTACTTCCTTTATCCAGAGTAAAAACTACCCACACCACCACCAAGGTTTGGTTTAAGAGTAGGTAAATTGATTTAAAACAAGTGTGCAGCTTTAAACAACTGTCACCATTGCATCTCAAAATTTGTTTCATGAAAAAACGTAAATCTGTTTTCATAATTTAATCCATCAAATGAAACCCAACAAAAATGTAGCAAATATCTGATTTATATCCTTAACACTTGAATACAATTCCTGCAGAATAGAAAATTAAATCCAACACCAAAAAACATTTACAAACAAACAACTATCTAGATATCATTGTTAAAAAAACCATCATCATAAAACAATAAAATTATATCTGCAGTTTGGTATGATAACAAACTCTTGAGAAACTTCTGATTTCCTGTATTCAACCTATCTTTTTCCCCTAAGTAACATTACTTAATCTTAATTACATTTCTCTATCATAAAAATTCTGAAGAAGGTCCAAGTTGAAGACATGGTATGTATTTTATCCCCGAGTTTTAAGATTAACTCTGAAGAAATTCGGGACTTATTCCCCTGCTGTGATTTACTTATGTACTTAAAAATTTCATTTTATGACACATGTTCATGTAATGCTTTTAACAGAAATTGATACAATATCATTTTGTGGAAGCTATAAACCCTAAAACCCATTAATTTATCTTATATATATATAACGCGTACATGCATTTATTCATACATTATAAAATCAATATCATTGGGGGGGGGGGGGTTTAAGTGTACGAAAAAAACTTTTTACATTTTATGGTACTCAATAAAATACTTAAAATTGACTGGCAAGAAATGATCTACATGTTATATTCTGTTTAGCACAAAAAAACCCACAAAAGCTTATTTTCATAAAAAAAAAAAAAACTCTTGTAATTTTTTCATTATTAATGAACAAATTTGATCAACAAATACACAATTTTAATATTTTCACAAATCAACTGAACATTTTACTATTATTCTATCATTATTTCTCTTTATTTTATTACCATTATCTTGTCCGTACCTTACAATGCTTAATATCTTAAATGGACTTATCCATCTTTCAATGAAGACTAAGAGATTAATACACGGCAGAGTAGGGCCGGAAGGTGATAATCGGCCCGCAAAATGAATAATGGCCCCGAGGGCTTCAGCCCGAGGGCATTATTCATTTCAGGGCCGATTATCACCTTCCGGCCCTACTCTGACGTGTATTAATGTCTTTAATACACTTGATCTAATAGTAGCATTTAAGAAAAACAAACAACAACAACAACAAATACTTTGAAGTTCTTTCGTTGAAATTCTTGTCTACTGCAGTACACTTAGAAGAACTGTTCTGTACAGAGATGTTTACTGTTTGTGTGTTCAAAGCAGTAGAATCTAGAAGCAAGTTTTATTTTCATTTTTTCGGAATGAATTTGTCGTATTATTTCTTCAAATTATAGTAACAATAGTAACAAAAATGTGTTTGTACTAAATACGCTTAAGCTCTCATAATAAAAATAAAGCGATTCGTGCTGACAACCTACTTTCACTTTAACAGTTAACTGTTTGATGACGTAAAATATGACGTCATTGTTTCAGTTTGTGCACGTGCACATGTTCTGCGGGCTGATAACTAGTTCTCGGCCCCGGGCCGCAAACTCATAATAGGTCACGTGACACTCATAATCAGTTGAAATCATAGGCAATTTTGTTACTATATATAGTAACAAGTGTATTAAAGTACCATTCATCATTTTTAGGGAAAATTTCAAAATATGAAATAACTGAATAAGTAGCAGTGCTGACCATATAATGTGACAGTACAGAGATCTTGGTCTGCACTAGTTGCATGGATAGGACCGTGTTGCTGCAAGCAGG